TTTTTTTTTTTTTTTTTTTTTTTTTTTTTTTTTTTTTTTTGTGAAACCGGAGACTGGGCATTGGTCACTGTTCACGTCACGCACGTTCACGTTAAAACCCTCATAATTTAGCTAAGTCGGAGCTTTTCATGTCCAGCCCTCTCTGTCCTCAACTGACCTTGATATATTGACGTATTTTTCGGTAGAAAGACAGTGTATTTGTATTTAAACCAAGCTGGAAGTACTTCTCCCTAGTTTGTCATTTCTAAAATGAAAAAGGCATGATATTTGTCCTAGGAACCTATATTACCAAAGAACAGACAAAGTAAACCTTGCGATTCAAATCAGCTGTTCTTGCAACCCTTTTTTCACTGCGTGTGCTTGTTAGCAGGAACCAGTATAATCTTTTTTAATTCACGTATAAATTGTAGTTTACCATTGTGACGAACCGACACAGAAGCAAAAAGAAGCAAATAGTTAAACGTCATGGAAGAAATACATTCAAATCATGTTTACCAGCTACCAATAATTTTAACCGCTGGTATAAGAGTGACAGTTGCTCCCAGAATCAAAAGCAATGCATCCCAGTGTTTTGATTGCACTGGTTCATGTTCGGCTCATAAATCAACGTCATGGATTATCTGAAATTCGTTTCACATTGCAGCAATATAATAACAGCAGCACCCCGTCCCTTCATTCAATAAAAAAAATGGCGGATATAGCCCGTGATTTGGGCTATCGATGAGGAATGCTTGATTTTCATAGGCCTACTTCTCATTTCTACATGTAGCTGCACCAGCCATATCTCCTCTACGCCCGTATATCTCGTGCAGGCAAATCATGCAACCAAGCTAACGCATATATGATTATGAAACCAATATTCTACACTTTTCTTTTCAGGCTGTGATCAGACCGATTTCCCATTTTCATTCATAAGAGATACAGATTCGCCATGCGTATATTACCAATGTCTGTTTGGCACGCCGCTCAAGAGGGACTGCCCCACGGGATCCATGCTAGAGCCAAGTTACACGTAAGTGTTCCTTATCGTTACAAGGCAATGGCACCATTATGTCTAGCTACAATAAACTGTACTTAATTGAATAAACACAAGATGTGGGCCTTTACCAAACCTTGCCGCTCCCCCAATCTGTCCGATAGATGTAGCTGCGCAGTGCCGCGGCCCAAACACCCAACGTGTTCGGGAACACCTATAGTCTCTGACGGGTGATTGCTGGGTGATGGCGTCATTCAAAATTATGTGCAAAAAATTCTCGGGTACAGAAATGCACCCGGCATTAGCCAGTAAAAACATCTAGTGGTTATCTAGTGAATACAACCTTTATTTTTGCGTTTGGCTTAGTTAATGTGAACCTGTGTAAACCGTTGGACCTGTATTTGATCAAGAGCAGAAATATGTTCATTTGCATTCTCCGTACAAGTGTTTTTATTGTTGTTTATTAAAATTGCGAGCTTAGTTGAAGCGAGTTTATTTTATTAATGTTCAACTTTTTATGCTAATATTCTGTTATGATGATATGCATGAAACATTTTGTTTCTGTGTTTGTTGCGTTGTGCAAAACTTGTGAAGAAAACGACATGATGTCAAAAAATTAAATAAATGTCAGAAAAAAGCTCGCATTTGTAGCAAATGCCAGCTTCTTCGATGACGGCTGGAACTCAACGTCTTTGAGGACAGACATATATTTTATTCTTGACAATAACAGTGGAGAGAAACTTTTGTAAGCATGCGCATTTCTTTACGAGAGCCAGAGACGCCTATCAAAGACGGCTTTAGTCGCCTGCGCAAATACCATGACCTCAAAATCCAAATTAACATTTTTTCAAGATGAAGAATGGTCACAAGAACTGTGGCATCAGACAAGCGGCTTTTATTTCGGTTATGATATCGTAAAAGCAGAGACTTGTAACTCATTGAACCATTTGTTAGCGGTGTACTTGACAACTAATGAAAGTGACAGAGAGAACAATAAGTGCGTTATCAACCAATTCCTTTTATGTAGGTTGTAGTTAAGCAACACGAGTAACCACATTTGAATCATTTTAATGCCGTTGTCAGATATGATTAATTCAGAAAAAGAACGGATATTTCTTTTCTAAACAATCCTTTTTTTTTGAGCTTGCAATCATAGAATTAAAACAATACAATGTGATGGTATTTTATGCCTGATGTATAAAGGTATATAAAATTAATCGCAAAAAAGACGTTCAATTATACTGGACTGATAACCAGAAAAGGAAAAAAATAGAGCTGAATCTGAAATTGTCCTTGTCTCCACCAAACCGCAAAATTTTATGATACACTGGTTTTTGTTTACGTGGCATAAATTTTGTCATGATGTAATTGTTGTCGTTAAAACTGCCTTGATGTGGTCTCACAAAAATGTGCGTCTGTCATATTATATTCACCAATGTACATTCCCTTCCGTCTAAATAATGCATTGGGATAAAATATAATTTATTCATTGTCTTTTGCATTAACTGAGACCGGCCAGTACAGGTGCACAGGCATTGACAGGGAACACGGAGCCCCCCCCCCCCCTTCGGCCTAGCCTCACCTTTTCAAATCAAAATGGCAGCCAATTTAAGAAACAAAATAAATGGCGGATATTCAGAAAACGGCGATCTGAAACCCAAGAAAGTACTAAAATACTCCAAATTACACCATATTTTGCAAATGTTTTAGTGCTGTGGGAAGAACAGAGAAGGAGGAGGTGATGGGGAAGGAAAAGCAATGCCCCGTTTTCATCTAAATTTAGACATCTTTAAAATCTAATCTTAACATGTAATTAGACAAGTAAAATGTGAAGTTAGAACCGTATTAAGTATATCCCTTTTGTAAAGGGGGGTAATAATCGGTATATTATATGCAAATTGCTTTCTATAGACGTCCGTGCATAACCCCTGAACCTGACCATGTAAATGCAAGGGTCATCTGATAATAAACGATCACCAGTGCTGATAAAACAGAAAAACTCGATTTTTAATTTTTTTAAAAGATGAGGATTTCCGAGCTATATACAGTACCTTCGTAACCAGGTGGTGGTTACCAAGTGTGGAAATCGAAAATAAAATAATAAAACGAGGAAAATATTGATTCAATACATCGCCTCACGCTATTGCTGAAAATATATGGAACTCGTCATTTAGATAAACCACATTAATTTAATGCTTAGTTTTGGTAAGAAATCGGCGGACAAATAGAACAAGATAATATTGATTTAATTCCCACGGAAATTTACATCTCGATAGCAATATGTCTAGTGGATATTCCTGTATCAGTAAGATCAGACAAGCGCTATATGTCTATTATGAATGTGCCTTTAAAATTATGTGTAAATTTTACAATTTTGTCAAATTTATCAAAATTTTAAATTGCGTTTGGTTTTAACCCTGGATCTTTGAGAACCTGATGATATAACGTCAACCAGTCGATGGTCGTGGCGCAGTTGTATTTGGTCGTCATAGCTCCATTCATCATCACCCACACTTCACAAACAGGTGCTGGGAAGCAGTGGCCAGTTCAACGCTCCCTTTCACAATGTTTTTTACATTTATTTGGAGGAGCCCGAACTCATTGTTGACACTTTTGAACTGTTACTAAAGATTCTTCATCTCCCGTTTATCCATCTCCCGACCATACATCCAAGAAAAAGTTTTTTTTTCTTTTTTTAACGTGACGTTTACCGCTCTTAGAGCAAATCATGATTACGTAGTCAACAAGTCAATGGATCATTGCAGACACGAAAACAGAGAGCACTTGTTGATTGATGGCATGCATTTTATTTATATAACTTGACTATCCTTTCTTTCTGACGGAAGAACTCCCGGCGTTTTGAAATAAGCACACGCGCCACTCCAGCGCCCGGTGACTACTGAGCGTTGTAATTCCTACAAAACAAGCACACGACACATTTCACAAGTGGCCGGTGCAAATATCGTGAATCATACCATTATTTGGTGCGGTCACTACTTTTATTTTTTTTCAGGTCTGATTCATTTCTTATGAGACTGACTGATAAGGACTGTCTTTGTGTGACTGGTCAGATCTTCCTTTGAGATAACATCAAATCTGAAATAATGCGGTTTAAGACAAGATTTGTTTTTCAAAATGGGAAGCAGACTTTGCTTTTGGAACAGCTATTAATACTGTACTAAAGGAATTATGTTGGATATATAAAGACTGAAACATTGAAACTGTTCCTTTGCAGAGATGTGTGTGTGTGTGTGTGTGTGCGTGTGCACGTGCGTTTGTGCATGGCCACTTTGGATTAAGGGTTGTTTTAAAATAATGTCGGCTATTTCCAATGCATTGTTCTTGAGAAGTTATACGTGTTATTTGGGTAGCTTTCAGAAAAAAATGTACAAATCAGAAAATTTCAACTTTATAATAACTTCACACTGCTTTTCAGGTGAAATTCCATCAGATTATATGTTTTTTGATGAAATACGAGGACAAACACAATTTCATAATGCCTACATTGTCCCCTTGTGCACAAAATAGTACAATATGTGACACTAAGAATAAAAAACCTATGTGTAAAAGAAAATCTGACATACGAAAAATCAGATATGCATACAGACAAACTTGAAAACGATTTCATAAAAGATGTGTTGATAATATGAGAGAGAGAGAGAGAGAGAGAGAGAGAAATCTGCAGATATTCCGCCATCGACGTCTGTTCTCGCCTGCCCTTCCTCATCGGCGTGACTCGAGGAATTAAAACAAGAATGTCTTGCTTGACTAGTGCGTGAGAGAATGCCATTTTTGTCTGCTCCACGGCTACTTTTTTCCTTGTGCATTGGTGACATTTCAAATATCAAGAATTCGACAGAATGAGCACATAAAATGAGAACTTCGGTTGGAGTGAACTAGAAGAGAATTGTTTAGTTTATAATCGTACGTGCAATTTTTGGAATTGACTCCCAAACACCGATATATGTGAGATATTTGAGAATGAATATCATGAATATAAACTTTTGGCTCCAGGACCCCCCATTGTGCCTGTATGTTAGTGTGTATTACAGAGGCTGGTAAATCCAGGAAAAATGCCGTTTACTCCAATAAAATAAGTTCCTTTTTTATCCAGGGGATAAATAGGTCTAAGAATTATGGCACCAAAATCTTCCTTAGCGTACCTTTAATAAGATCTTCAGTACCAAGACTGGGTTCCAATGCCTAGATCGATCCATCTGGATCGGTCTATCTCCCTGGGGAGTCTCACTAAATTGCTAAGAACCTAACCGGTTTAAATGTCTGTCACGCCTACCGGATCAGCTAGGGGGTAAAGATAATGACCCCTAACAGCTTTACTAAATCGATTCAAATACCTGTGGGAATGGTCCCCAATGGCCGTGTCCGACGTGAGGTGCAATAAGGGGCACATGTCTCTCATTTCTTGAACACACATAAATTTGTTCCTGTGTGGCTATGTGACAGTCATTGCATATCAAATGACATAATTAAGCTTTTGATCAAAGGTTGAACAAATTGTTGAAGAAAATACATCTGTTAAACTCGCGAAATCCATTGCAAACATTAATGACTAATATGTGCCTTGGTACATTATCGCCTGCCTCACGATATTTCAATAAAATCGTCTGTGATCAGGAAATAAGATGGATTTACCTTACATAACGTCTTAACGTGTGCCCCCTTTGAAGAATTCAATTTAAATTACAAAAGGCACCATTATATCATTGCCAAAGAGTCATATCAAGGTATCGGTGATACGAAATCAGTAAAAGTGCCATTTCAATTACACAGTTCAACAATCTGAAAATGAAAATGCATTTCAGGTTGTATAAAAGTTTTGACAAAAAATCCAACACATCGTGAAAGTTAGATACAGTTTAGCTTACTTCACTTTTACTAAAAGACCAATCAATTCAATGCTGACTTATTATGGAAACGCACTTTCAGACGAGCATCCTCAAGTCCGTGGTAAATGCCACTCCCAGTTAAAGCCACCCCCAGTTTGAAACCCTGTTCCAGATCTACTCTGATCATAAAAAATGTATCTGATTTTTCAAGGCGAGGCCCCACGCTCACTTACGGTTCTCATAAGGTTTTTTCTGTTCTTAATCTGTTCTAGGACATTCTGAAGGACTTCCTAATAACAGTTCTCGAACTGTTACATTCATTACAGAAGAACATTAGCACTGTAAAAATTACACCAAATGTTCTAGAATAAATTGAGAACCGTAAGTGAACATTAAATGAGACGAATTTTCGCAGGAGAACCAGCCACCAACGCCCTCCACTCCCTCACCCACGTCACTGCAGACGATCACTGTGTGGGCATGTGATCTGGATGACTAAGCTGAATGATACACCCCCTTATGCACAAAATCTTTCTTTCTGTATACATGTAGAAACACCATTCACTTCAAATACGGTCTTTTACTGAACACGTCGAATTATTAATCGAACAAAAATAACTATTTCACAAAGCAGACAGATTTAGAACACTGACCTCTAGCGCCATCTGGGAGGTTTTCAGCCTTTCAGCAGTATTGAAGCCATGATCATTTGTGCTATCATGGGGTATCTAGCTTATAAAAACAAATCGTAGTTCGAAGAAGATTACCAAGCTGTTTCACACACACACACACACACACACACACACACAAAAGAGGGGGTATGGTGGCTTATATTGCGTCGTTTGCTAAAGCAACAAATAAATAAATAAATAAATAAATAAATAAATAAATAAATAAATAAATAAATATAATGTCTTGGTATTAGATAAAGATACTCAGCATCAGTTTATCATGAAACATTATGCCGAGTCCGTGCTTAATTACACAGCAACGAGTGCAATTTATTATGAGAATACCTCGGAGGGCTACTTAAATACACACTTAAATCTGGGCATTCAGTGATTCAGCACTTGGGCCACATTTTATGGGTATATTTGGGGCGAAGAAAGCCACGATATACAGTTTACCGTGCACATATCATTTTACGTGTGCTTCTACGAGAATGGATAAAATGTCAGGCCTCATCAACTCATTTTAATTCCGTTTGAAAAATGTGCCCCTTTGGGGCGCGCTGAAGTCTGGCAACGCACTAATGTGCTAGGTGTGCAATGAGCATTTCAAAACACAATATTTGTCTATTTTATTACGCGTGTTTTCATTGGCCAATACCAACAAATAGGCCTACGCGACACGTCATACAGCACATGTTGGTCGACACGTTGTGTGTCAACTAGGCCAGAAACATTTCAAGAGAGCCCAGGAGAGTTTTAGAAAGCGGCAAAAATTAAGATGTGTGAAACCAGGGAGTTATGTCTCTGTACTGAAGCCAGACTCCATCCACTTGTAAATTAAAAGGTATTTTACGTATTTCAGATATGGTCTGTTCAACCCGTGCACTGTGGCATCAAGTGACTGTCAGAAGAATGTCAACACGAGGCCAGTGGGTGGAGGTGTACCCTTTACTATGGGTAAGGTTTTAAGGCGGTGCTTCGGGAATAAAAAAGTGCTAGTAATAGGTTTTCCTTTTTCTCCTTTTATATGGGAAGAGAGAGAGCCAATTTAGTTTCAATGAAGAGTTACACTCAATCCACGTATAAAGCAGAGGATGGGGGACAGTTACCACTTTACTGTTTAGATCAAACTGCAAATCGCTTTGCTTCTACCCTTCGTGAGTAGATGGTAACTTTGTATTAAAGAGCATTTCCTGAAGTATGGCTTTTTATCCTTTCCAGACTGTGGAATAGTAGGTATAGGCGGGTTTATTCGTGATAGGGCCTCCCCATGCACCTACTACCAATGTCTCCTCCTCCGGAATGAGGCCACCGGCGTCCCAGGGCCATATTTGTTAAGAAGACGGTGCAGAAACCGCCTGGCCGTACCACTGTCGTATACCTATGGGATGTTTACGCCGTGTAGAACGACCAGTCCTCTATGCGCTGGTCCAACCACGTTCCCGACAACGACTACAACCACTCCCACGACGACTACGACCACTACCACAACGACTACAACCACTCCCACAACCACAACTACTAAGCCCACAACTACAGAAGTCGTTCAAACCATTGAGAGTGGCACCATATTCACACCGAGTCTGGCCCCGCCTGAAGCACAGCAGAAAATCACCACAAGTGACAGTACGACTGAAAGATACGGAGCCGACTTACTGTCAGACGAGACCCCTCTCTTTGATCAACCGAGCCTGCCCTCTACCGGCGCCAGTAGACCAGGACGAGCCGTAACCAGTGCTCCAGATGTTGTTCAAACTACCATTTTGCCGATGGAAGACCCTTCTACAACAATTATTGTGGTCACTCCCTCAATTGCCCCGACACCAGGAGTAATGCCTAAACGTAATGATATTGTGATTGCTGGTGGACTGCCGTACACTATAGGTATGTATGCAGACAAACACACAGATTTTATCAATATTACAGATATTTGTTTAGATGAATGCATTGAATGCATTTGGAATTTCCGATAGATAATTTGAATGATAGAGATATAGTGAAAGTGCAATAATAATAACTCAAATTGCATTTATATATATATATATATTTTTTTTTTAATTTACAAGACAGGCTTTAAAATTTGAGGATATTTTTTTTAATCTTCGTAACAAAGTTTCAGTTTCACTTCAGTATAAAATATCGCTCTATCGTTCTATTACAGACTGTGCTGCTGTTGGTATTGGTAACTTTGTGCGAGACATGGAATCTGCTTGCTATTTCTACCAGTGCAAGGTATTCAAGAGTCGATTTACAGGAAATATGGGATTTGTACTACCAAGGAAAAAATGTCCTCCCGGTAAAGGCATCTCTATGAATTTTAATTATGGCCCCGGGAACCCGTGTAGAGAAGAAGTTTCGGATGACACCTGTGACATAACACCAACTTCTACTCCGGAAACGACATCTACAACAACGCCAACCACCACAACAACACCAACCACAACAACCACAACACCAACCACAACAACCACAACACCAACCACAACGACAACAACACCAACCACAACAACGCCAACGCCAACGACAACACCAACGGCTGCAAGGACACCGCTGCCATCGGATATCAGCATTGCTGGTGGAAGACCATACACTTTAGGTATATTTGGATGATATCACTTCTACTCGTTTTGAGTATCATAACCGTAGAGTTTTTTTATCAAAAAATGTGACTGGTATTTGCATTAAGGATAAGAAATCAATGTGGGATGCTGCTGAATTTTAGATGATAACTTTCTTAACCATTGGTTGTGCATCGCACGTGTACCGTTAATGAAAGTAAAAAGAATATGTAGATGCAAACGTTTTTGAAATTAGACGATCGTATATGGTATAATCAATGGTGTAACATTGGTATGAAGACGTTTCCATTATCAATAAAATAGTAATGTGTCTGGTGGCAATTTGGCTATAGAACTTTACTCCGTAGTATATGTAATGATTTACAATCGGCAAAGGTTCTAGGTTTCTCTATACAACAACAAATAGCTTCGAAGTCAGTTCTTCTTCCATTTCAGATTGTGAAGGAGCGGGTAAAAATGCCTACGTTGCCGACAGATCTAGTCCCTGTAACTACTACCAATGTATAGGGTACGACATCGGACCAAATACCATCTTTGTCATTATGAGGTTCTCATGCCCAGTGTACAAGTCTGTGCCGGAGGTTTTCACTTATGGCTTCTCTCAGCCGTGTATTGATGACAAGTTTGACTGTCCCGGTGCACCACCGCTGCCACCACGACAGAGCACGACAGAAACTGTACCAACGACTGAAGTCATCACAACTGTTGCACCAACTGTCAGTGTTACTGACGCTGTCACTACTGCCGATGGCCTCACTGTTGCACCAACTGTCAGTGTTACCGATGCAGTTACTACTGCCGATGGCCTCACTGTTGCACCAACTGTGAGCGTTACCGATGCTGTCACTACTGCCGATGGCCTCACTGTTGCACCAACTGTGAGCGTTACCGATGCTGTCACTACTGCCGATGGCCTCACTGTTGCACCAACTGTTAATGTTACTGATGCTGTCACTACTGCCGATGGCCTCACTGTTGCACCAACTGTCAGTGTTACTGATGCTGTCACTACTGCCGATGGCCTCACTGTTGCACCAACTGTCAGTGTTACTGATGCTGTCACTACTGCCGATGGCCTCACTGTTGCACCAACTGTCAGTGTTACTGATGCTGTCACTACTGCCGATGGCCTCACTGTTGCACCAACTGTCAGTGTTACTGATGCTGTCACTACTGCCGATGGCCTCACTGTTGCACCAACTGTCAGTGTTACTGATGCTGTCACTACTGCCGATGGCCTCACTGTTGCACCAACTGTCAGTGTTACTGATGCTGTCACTACTGCCGATGGCCTCACTGTTGCACCAACTGTCAGTGTTACTGATGCTGTCACTACTGCCGATGGCCTCACTGTTGCACCAACTGTCAGTGTTACTGATGCTGTCACTACTGCCGATGGCCTCACTGTTGCACCAACTGTCAGTGTTACTGATGCTGTCACTACTGCCGATGGCCTCACTGTTGCACCAACTGTCAGTGTTACTGATGCTGTCACTACTGCCGATGGCCTCACTGTTGCACCAACTGTCAGTGTTACTGATGCTGTCACTACTGCCGATGGCCTCACTGTTGCACCAACTGTCAGTGTTACTGATGCTGTCACTACTGCCGATGGCCTCACTGTTGCACCAACTGTCAGTGTTACTGATGCTGTCACTACTGCCGATGGCCTCACTGTTGCACCAACTGTCAGTGTTACTGATGCTGTCACTACTGCCGATGGCCTCACTGTTGCACCAACTGTCAGTGTTACTGATGCTGTCACTACTGCCGATGGCCTCACTGTTGCACCAACTGTCAGTGTTACTGATGCTGTCACTACTGCCGATGGCCTCACTGTTGCACCAACTGTCAGTGTTACTGATGCTGTCACTACTGCCGATGGCCTCACTGTTGCACCAACTGTCAGTGTTACTGATGCTGTCACTACTGCCGATGGCCTCACTGTTGCACCAACTGTCAGTGTTACTGATGCTGTCACTACTGCCGATGGCCTCACTGTTGCACCAACTGTCAGTGTTACTGATGCTGTCACTACTGCCGATGGCCTCACTGTTGCACCAACTGTCAGTGTTACTGATGCTGTCACTACTGCCGATGGCCTCACTGTTGCACCAACTGTCAGTGTTACTGATGCTGTCACTACTGCCGATGGCCTCACTGTTGCACCAACTGTCAGTGTTACTGATGCTGTCACTACTGCCGATGGCCTCACTGTTGCACCAACTGTCAGTGTTACTGATGCTGTCACTACTGCCGATGGCCTCACTGTTGCACCAACTGTCAGTGTTACTGATGCTGTCACTACTGCCGATGGCCTCACTGTTGCACCAACTGTCAGTGTTACTGATGCTGTCACTACTGCCGATGGCCTCACTGTTGCACCAACTGTCAGTGTTACTGATGCTGTCACTACTGCCGATGGCCTCACTGTTGCACCAACTGTCAGTGTTACTGATGCTGTCACTACTGCCGATGGCCTCACTCATGCACCAACTGCCAGTGTTACCGATGGGTTGACAACTATCTCAACTGCTATCTCAACCACTTCTGCTGCTCCTGGATCTATAGCTGGCACCACTGATGCCCCTGTCACTACTACAAGTATGCGAGTTGAGACTACCACTTTAGACTGCACTAACATTAATGAAGACGAAGACTTAGAAAAGGCCCTGAGATGTCTTGTGAGTGGCGCAGGGAACATCGCTTCCCGCACTACAGACGTGGGCACGTTCTTTGACAAGGTTCACGATTTGTTGCTGCGATTGAGCAACCGACAGGTCCACCGCGAGTAATAATGATGATAGTCAGTTATGGTTCAGTTATAATAGAATGGTAAAAGTATGTTCAATAAAAATGTATTAATTACTAATTATTTTTGAAACAATATCATTTTATCTATTGATGAAGGACACACCATATATTAACCTTTATTTGATGATATCTAAAATGTTGCGAACATTAATTGTTTGACAGTGTATCATATTCTAGTGAGCCCTCACATGGCTTCATGCGGCCATCAGCACTTAAATACTTTATGTTTAGTTATGAAACAACGTTGTTTGATATTTTGATGGATCCCAAGCGCTCTCTGTTGATTATTATCCAACGTGGATCAGGCCTTATGCTCAATGTTATCTTGACAAACGTGTGTGTACTTTTAAGTATAAAATTACACTGTCTGGATTTAGACTTTTCACATTTAAGATGATAAGAAATGCTATACTATAACTAACTTGATTAACATTTGTTGGTTATTACAAGGATTGGTTGATATTATAACTACTAATAAATAGTTATTTAAATTAAGAAAGCTTTGGATCAAGCGTTTCAAGGTGTACCCCTATATTCATATACAGAAGTAATAATAATTATGTTTCCGTATTATTATGACCAAAAATACAGATTTTAAATGTAACTTAATGACTCTTGACAATTATCGCATAAGAATATTATGTGATTTGCATTAAGAACAGAATTGAAAAGAGAAATAATTGATAGGTTTCTTTATCCTTCATTTGGTATCCATCTGGTCATTTACGGATATTGAGGAGCCGACTGTTCAACACAAACCTTTTTTCAAATTCCTCTATTTATTAAAATTAGAAAAAGGCGTAGGACTTGTGACAAAGTGCTGGTCCGTTTGCGGTCATTCTGTATTGTCTCTTACACACACACACACACAAACATACACACACACAGACACACACACACACACACACATCATTTCTAACCGCTGGATGGCACCATCAGAAACAAAATAGTGTCTAACGTTTGGGGAACGTCGCGATACCCAGTATAACTGTATAGAGCTTAATTGAATCCAGTGGGCAGTGTTCTCCATAGGTTGGCGCTATCCAGTGTTGATAACACTGGGCTAGGAATCATGTTGGTAACATACGGGTCTCTGATGATCAGAGCTACGTCATTGTAACCTTGGTGAGATCGAGCTGGAAACCACCGGAAGTGTGCACGAGGTGGTGGTGCAGAAGGATCCGGTAGATAGCGAAGTCGATAGCACATCCGACCTGAAATAATTTTATTTCTGCGGGTGTTCAATTCAACTCCGCTGTGACTTCGTGTTTATCCAGTCATAGTAATGGGCTCTCACGAACTTACATCAAATAGGGCTTTTATCAAAAATATAGACAGTAATGTATATAGCATTATGGACTGCATAGGATGAAGGTTCATATTTATGTTATTAATGATAATACTAATGAAAGTAATAAATAATTTTATGATGCACTCCATATCATTTCAGTGCGCCCTACAAAAATATTAAAAATATAAAAATCTTGTCACACAAAAAAATACTGAAATACTTACTTTATGAAGTAAATTAAAATAATGTAAAGTTTCTTAGAAAATGCGAGTTTCTATTAATTTTCAGAACAAATAATGTTCTATTTTGTGTATGTTCCATCATTAAGATCAGAGCCAGTTAACAGATATATTTTACCTTCTCAACTGTGTAACAATTGTTTATGTCTCAGAGAACGTTTAATGCAGTGGTTAGTTTATTTGTTCAAAACAACATACATCAATTAATGCGCCTCTGAAATTATGATTTCATGGCACTGGGAACATGATGGTAGTAAACCTAGGAATAAAAATCAGGGTTTCGTATAATTATGATAAGATGCTGGTACAAGTGAGAACAGCTTATAATTAGGGTTAGCCGTAGTATTGGAGCTAGTACATGGGGCGAATATCACCTGAACAAAGTAATGGGATCACTGTTCCTAGCGGACCACCATTGCTACCACCCTGTCACGTGTGAGCACCCTTTCTATACCCATCAAACACAGGGCGTTATTATAACGTTACAAAACGTTTATTAGTAACGTTATGGAAACGTTATAATAACGCTCTGTGTTTGCTGGGTACCTAAAGAGTCAAAGTGTTGGTGCACAGTTTTCCCAAACTCCAGGTCATTTCGATACAAACTATTAACCTTTGTTGTCAGTAGCTGCACGTTATTTAAATAATCTTATTGTGTATAAAAAAATTATTTTCAGCTATTATATGTTATTAACGTTTGTTTCATTTCATTGCTAACAACATGTTTTTTGTTATTAAGGATGCATGTACATGTAGTTAATAGTTAGAAAGGTAGTTAAAGGGTTTACTTCGTTATTAGGTTTGAAAATGATGCGTTGTTTTTATTCTGTGCTTTGTAATTGATTTTATCTTAAGTATAGTACAGTAATATTTGTTTTGAGGGGTTTTATTATAATTTTGATTTACAATATTTAATTGAAATTTAACAATTTATATTTCTGTGTTAATCAAATTACTTTAATTACACGTCGTTTAAAATCCAAATCTGGATATATGTTGGAGGTATCGAAACGACATCACAGAATGTATTTTAACCAGCTTTTATTTCATAACAGAAAAAAGATCCCAATGCGACAAAATTTAATATTTCAAATAATCCGAATAAAATATACATGAATTTTGACCGATTGCTTGCGTTGTCTTTTGTTTCTGCATTTATATTAGGATGTCTTGGCTTATCGTGAGGATATAATTATCATCAACTTTTTCACTTGTCCATTTGGTTTGTCACTGATGTTCAGAATGAACATTGTAAATGCTCGTTTGGCGCATTATTGTGGCTTGCAACTTTTGGTTTGCTTAGGATGACGTCACATTCCTGCATTCGAACACGTGATATTCGGCGCCAAAAAGACCCGTATAGAAAACCTTGCTACAGGCCATTCCAACGCTGCAACCGCAGTCAAACCGGCGCCCCTCATCGTCAACCTAGACAAAACATTGTATCATTTCAATACAAAAACGACACCTTGCAAATACAATTAAAGCAATAGAAAACAAATGATAAAATACATAGAGTCGAATAATGATAGCAGGGCGTCAATCTGAGAAAATAGGACAGTCTTTCTGTAAAATTAAATGTATGGGTATATGCATTATAAGTTACTCTTGTACTTTTGTTCTCGTTTGAATATAGGGGAAGGGAACTTTGTAATAAAGAAATCAGAGGTGTAGAATTTTTTCCCCTATGTAACAATCCTACGTTTACCGAGCATTACACCAAAGCTGAATTATCATCTACTGTGTTTAATGTTCTACCTTAGGTGCGTTGGGGTCGCATCGTTTGCCCTCTCTAATCTTCAAAGAGCAGCGTCCGTTACGTGACCATTGCATGTGGACGTTGCCACGGCAACAAGCTGTAGGAGCACAGTCACTATCGTCGTGACACTCGTAGCCAAGCGGCTTGGTCTTATGTTAAATGATGAGAATGTGTAGAAATAAAATACATATCGCCAAACTTAATGACAATGGTTTATATTTATGTTTCCAAGTGATTTCAACTCTAACCTTGAAAAAATATACTAAAAATAAACACAGAGATAGACGCGAAGAAAATCAGTCCAATTTTCAGCGCTATATCAATTAATGTTAAGTGTGCCGCGATAATTTTTAACAAAAGAAAAAAAACTCTATTTGATACTTATTAGTCTACTCACGGGCTTTTCGGTCGGCGCCTGAGACAATGCAACGGCAAAGAACAGACAGAAAACTATCGCGATCTTCATACTGTGTCTTCTTGTTACCTGCTGATGCTAGAAAACGTTCGAAATACTCCGTCAAAGTGCGTTATGCCGTACGCGCAATGATAAATAAGATGTACTGTAGCATTAGCGTGAAGGAGCCAAGTCATTAGCTGAGGGTCAAGAGGGGAGAGTTTGGACGGGGACATGCCAATAGTCCAAAGTTCAACGGTCCGAAATTCATTGGTCCAAGTTGTTCACTACAAAACCTTTGGACCAACGAGCCCTTTTATTTAAAAATTGATGAAAATTGTTACGAGTAATCGGACCAATGGACCTCATGGAACCTTCAGATAGACTATCGAGACGCATCCTTTGTGGTGCGCCAGGTGTGATATAGGAATGGGAGTCCTAGGAATGGAAGCCCGGGCTCTCATACGATTAGTACAGGTGAGGGTCAATGGGGATATTGGGGTTAGTATATGGGACGAATGACACCTGTACAAAGTAATGGGACTACGGTTCCTAGCGGATTTACATTCGTGTTACACAGGCATAGGGCCTACATGAAATCTCAACGACTCGTAAAGTATCACAATCAGTCAGTATTGTAAGTCATAGATATGGTAGCCGACGGGCCCTAACGAACCACTTGCAATATTCCTTTTATTTTAGAGGACACCACAAATAACAAGGATGGTAGCACTGGTGAACCTTATGAACTCCACAGTAAAACACATCCATTTCATACTCTGTAAGTAAATGTAAGATTAACTTAAAGAAACAAATGCTAGGTGCATGAGCAGCTGCACGGATAAGCCTACTTCCGTTTCCTGTTTTACATTCGACCAGCATCGACCGTCTATTCGACTGCATGGCTCAGGGATCTCTCGCTGATTTTACTCCTTGCTTGCCCTCGGCGTCCCATCCCTCACTGTCATGCACAGGACCTGGGATAGAGACCAGCTGGTGGAATGGGTTATCTTCTCCTCCCATCACGACTCACTCCTCGGCACAACTGTCCTAAGTGATAAAACCTGCTCATTGCCTGTATGTCCTTTGTGGTTAACATAGCAATATATTTCTCACTGTCATTTACGTACGGATAGTTGTGGGTAATCATTCAGTAGCGTATATGAATGTAACTTCTAGCAAAATTTTATTCGATACACGAGACACGAAGCATAGGTCATCTTCTCTCTATCACCTTACAAAAAGGGTACGCAATGGCTTTTAGTAGTATTTTTGATGCAAGTGGCGCTGTCCTTCAAAATTCAATAAATGAGGACCGCTCTTAGCTAAGCTTGTCTAAAGTAGATGTTCCCGAGAAGTCCCAAAATTTTTTAGAGTACTTTTCTTTAATGTCACAAGTGTTTTTACTAACGTACACGGTATGTGCGCAACTTTTTTTAAGCCAGGAAGTCGACCTGCCATTTAGCACTTAATTTCTCTTTTAGGGCTCATTCCCCATGAAAGGATAGTTCTACGTAGATAGATCCAACTCCGCCGGATCCAGGATTATTTGAAGGGGGGGGGGGTCCGCGGATGCGAAGCCTACGCTCTCTCCCCCTCTTGCCGTGGGGTGCGGGCCTCGAAAATTCTTGGTATTTTTAAAGAGCGAACGGTGCCATTTGGTACGGTTTAGAACTATGGTTCAGCTAGTCAAAATTCTAATTTCACGAGGGGATCAGAAATCGAGGGGGGGGGGTCAGGGGTTCATTCTCTATCAAAATTATCAATTAAAGATTCTGTATTAACACATAAAATTTACCTAGAAATATCCCCATTATAGTAAATACGGCGGGAAACGAACAAGCCACATCAATGCACTAGCCGAGTATAACAGTAAAGGTGAGTAACAACGGATCATTAACGGAACGGTTTATACATGCGTCTGCTGCGTGTACAATCGGCCAGGACGGATGGTTCACGCAGAACGGACCGTACAAAACACCGGTTTAACACCACAGAGGATAAACAGAATTTTTTGTGTTTTGATTTACAAGTTTTTTTTAAAAAGCGCCCGTATATTTGCCAGTTTTGCCGTCTATTTTAATATGGGCTCTATAGATATGAACATCTACTGAAGGTCTTTTGAAATCGAAAATGCTCAGTTTCTCAGTTGCAAATTGTAATTATGAAGAAAGTATGAACAAATATCATGCAAAACAGGGACATATAATGACTCCTCAATGTCTTGTTGGAATGTGGTTTATTTGCCAAGTAGGAACGCATTCGCTCTTCATATGTTACATGTACAAGCAAGATCTCTTTATTAGAAAAGTTAGCGTCAACTCTGAACTTAGAATTAGCTTAACAAGCAAAAGTGACGCCACACAAAGCATATGGTTCACTTATCACACTTCAATTTTTTCAAGTTACTTGAATATTTATGAAGTCTTTTCAGTTGTAACACGCAGGATCCAATGTTTAAGTATTACAATACAATGTTCAAACCAAACGTATACTCAGTCATTTACTATCACAAAGCAACTGCATAGCTCTGTTTTTGCACTTGTTCTTCTTTTGTGTTTATAGAAGCAAGTTGACTATTAATGACAGCTCTTTATCCTGGTTAACCATATTTGTAAACAAAATAGTTGAAGCTATAATGACTTCTATCCACAATCTGTGTCAATATTGAGTGTATGAGCTGTCTGCAACACACCTGTTTTTCCTTATCATGGAATTAAAATAAACAATTATAAATATACAGATTCCTCTGCAACCAGATATGGTATGTGTGACCAGAGTTAGCTGTTGTTTCTACAGAGTGCTACAGGTGCAACACAGTTTGAAATTCCCGGCTCAATCTACTAAATAAATAAATAAATAAATAAATGGGAAAATTTACTGAAAATTCAGTACAATACTAAATGCAACCATTTTGACACACTAGTAGTTGCATATGAACACTATAATGCACAATGGCTCTGCCTTTACATGAATGTTTTGTCAATAATGCATATTATTCGATTCACTGAGAGCCTAGCAATATAAATATCATTTCATTTGAGACATCAAAGTAAAATGTGTCCTCCCTTTGCTTCTCTTTGGCTCAGCTTCTGCATAATCTTTGCCTGACCTTGACCTGATTTCTTACATGACCCTTTTGAGACATCACATTCGTAGCCCTCCAGAAAGTGTAGACCATCAATGCAGCAATGAACCCCATCTTTACAACAGAGAGCATGTGGCACTGGACAGCAGCCATATTGACCACTGGGCAGTTTACAGCAGGTGTTCCCATCTGGACATTGAGACTGACCATCTGGACATATCACAATCCCAACATTGGTATCCACAAGGACAGCTTTATCTGGTATCACTGAAATGGCTTTAGTCCCCTGAACACATACCCCAGTAGTTGTCTGACAAGTAAAGCCTGAAATAGTCACAATCAGAAAGAAAATATACAAATCAACAAAGCAAAACATAATTAGCATTGGATGAAACTCAATGTGGTCGTATTGTCTTTCACAAAGTGTTCAGTTATTTTTTGTCCTTAATATCTAAGGGACCATTCCCCGACCCAATCAAACTAACTGGGGATAGATCTATCTCCAAGCGGATTCTCTCTAAATTTCAATCAACCTAAGCAGCATGGATGTTTGTCATGCCTACTGAAGCTGCTATGGGTAATTAATGATCATTTAACAGCTTTAGTAGGCGTGACAGAGATCTAAGTCGTTCAAACTGAAAACAATTACAAGAAGACCCTATGAGATGGATCCATCAAGTTAGATCAGTCTAAGTATTGGAACCCAGTCCAGGTCCGGGTGATCTTTACCTTAGCTAATAAAATTCCTACCATGTAATTATATATATATATATATATCAAGCATGCAGACAGAGATCTACGTCGCTTAAACTGAAAACAATTACAAGAAGATCCTATAAGATGGATCCATCAAGTTAGATCAATCTAAGTATTGGAACCCAGTCCAGGTCCGGGTGATCTTTACCTTAGGTAATAAAATCCCTACCATGTAATCCATGTAATTAAAAAAAAAAAAAACACTTGCACTCCATATGTTAATCTACCTGTCTTAGTCAGCTTAAATGAACTATTAATATAACAGTTTTTTTTTCTATTTCTACGATTGAAACCTTGGAAATCTATGTCACAGTAACCTACTTACCATTTGGACAGCAATGAACCCCATCTTTACAACAGACAGCATCTGGCACTGGACAGCAGCCATATTGACCACTGGGCAGTTTACAGCAGGTGTTTCCATCTGGACATTGAGACTGACCATCTGGACATATCACAATCCCAACATTGGTATCCACAAGGACAGCTTTATCTGGTATCACTGAAATGGCTTTAGTCTCCTGAACACATACCCCAGTAGTTGTCTGACAAGTAAAGCCTGAAATAGTCACAATCAGAAAGAAAATATACAAATCAACAAAGCAAAACATAATTAGCATTGGATGAAAATCAATGTGGTCGTATTGTCTTTCACAAAGTGTTCAGTTACTCTTTGTCTTTGATATCTATGGGACCATTCCCCGACCCAATCAAACTAACTGGGGATAGATCTATCTCCAAGCGGATTCTCTCTAAATTCAGGTCAACCTAAGCAGCATGGATGTTTGTCATGCCTACTGAAGCTGCTATGGGTAATTAATGATCATTTAGCAGCTTTAGGAGGCGTGACAGAGATCTAAGTCGCTCAAACTGAAAACAATTACAAGAAGACCCTATGAGATGGATCCATCAAGTTAGATCAAGCTAAGTATTGGAACCCAGTCCAGGTCCGGGTGATCTTTACCTTAGCTAATAAAATCCCTACCATGTAATTAAAAAAAAAAACACATGCACTCCATATGTTAATCTACCTGTCATAGTCAGCTTAAATGAACTATTAATATAACAGTTCTTTTCTATTTCTACGATTGAAACCTTGGAAATCTATGTCACAGTAACCTTCTTACCATTTGGACAGCAATGAACCCCATCTTTACAACAGACAGCATCTGGCACTGGACAGCAGCCATATTGACCACTGGGCAGTTTACAGCAGGTGTTTCCATCTGGACATTGAGACTGACCATCTGGACACATCACAATCCCAACATTGGTATCCACAAGGACAGCTTTATCTGGTATCACTGAAATGGCTTTAGTCTCCTGAACACATTCCCCAGTAGTTGTCTGACAAGTAAAGCCTGGAATAGTCACAATCAGAAAAAAATATACAAATCAACAAAGCTTAACATAATTAGCATTGGATGAAACTCAATATGGTCGTATTGTCTTTCACAAAGTGTTCAGTTATTTTTTGTCTTTAATATCTAAGGGACCATTCCCTGACCCAATCAAACTAACTGGGGATAGATCTATCTCAAAGCGGATTCTCTCTAAATTTCAATCAACCTAAGCAGCATGGATGTTTGTCATGCCTACTGAAGCTGCTATGGGTAATTAATGATCATTTAGCAGCTTTAGTAGGCGTGACAGAGATCTAAGTCGCTTAAACTGAAAACAATTACAAGAAGATCCTATAAGATGGATCCATCAAGTTAGATCAATCTAAGTATTGGAACCCAGTCCAGGTCCGGGTGATCTTTACCTTAGCTAATAAAATCCCTACCATGTAATTAAAAAAAAAAACACATGCACTCCATATGTTAATCTACCTGTCATAGTCAGCTTAAATGAACTATTAATATAACAGTTCTTTTCTATTTCTACGATTGAAACCTTGGAAATCTATGTCACAGTAACCTTCTTACCATTTGGACAGCAATGAACCCCATCTTTACAACAGACAGCATCTGGCACTGGACAGCAGCCATATTGACCACTGGGCAGTTTACAGCAGGTGTTTCCATCTGGACATTGAGACTGACCATCTGGACACATCACAATCCCAACATTGGTATCCACAAGGACAGCTTTATCTGGTATCACTGAAATGGCTTTAGTCTCCTGAACACATTCCCCAGTAGTTGTCTGACAAGTAAAGCCTGGAATAGTCACAATCAGAAAAAAATATACAAATCAACAAAGCTTAACATAATTAGCATTGGATGAAACTCAATATGGTCGTATTGTCTTTCACAAAGTGTTCAGTTATTTTTTGTCTTTAATATCTAAGGGACCATTCCCTGACCCAATCAAACTAACTGGGGATAGATCTATCTCAAAGCGGATTCTCTCTAAATTTCAATCAACCTAAGCAGCATGGATGTTTGTCATGCCTACTGAAGCTGCTATGGGTAATTAATGATCATTTAGCAGCTTTAGTAGGCGTGACAGAGATCTAAGTCGCTTAAACTGAAAACAATTACAAGAAGATCCTATAAGATGGATCCATCAAGTTAGATCAATCTAAGTATTGGAACCCAGTCCAGGTCCGGGTGATCTTTACCTTAGCTAATAAAATCCCTACCATGTAAATTAAAAAAAAAAACACATGCACTCCATATGTTAATCTACCTGTCATAGTCAGCTTAAATGAACTATTAATATAACAGTTCTTTTCTATTTCTACGATTGAAACCTTGGAAATCTATGTCACAGTAACCTTCTTACCATTTGGACAGCAATGAACCCCATCTTTACAACAGACAGCATCTGGCACTGGACAGCAGCCATATTGACCACTGGGCAGTTTACAACAGGTGTTTCCATCTGGACATTGAGACTGACCATCTGGACACATCACAATCCCAACATTGGTATCCACAAGGACAGCTTTATCTGGTATCACTGAAATGGCTTTAGTCTCCTGAACACATTCCCCAGTAGTTGTCTGACAAGTAAAGCCTGGAATAGTCACAATCAGAAAAAAATATACAAATCAACAAAGCTTAACATAATTAGCATTGGATGAAACTCAATATGGTCGTATTGTCTTTCACAAAGTGTTCAGTTATTTTTTGTCTTTAATATCTAAGGGACCATTCCCTGACCCAATCAAACTAACTGGGGATAGATCTATCTCAAAGCGGATTCTCTCTAAATTTCAATCAACCTAAGCAGCATGGATGTTTGTCATGCCTACTGAAGCTGCTATGGGTAATTAATGATCATTTAGCAGCTTTAGTGGGCGTGACAGAGATCTAAGTCGCTTAAACTGAAAACAATTACAAGATGATCCTATAAGATGGATCCATCAAGTTAGATCAATCTAAGTATTGGAACCCAGTCCGGGTGATCTTTACCTTAGCTAATAAAATCCCTACCATGTAATTAAAAAAAAAACACATGCACTCCATATGTTAATCTACCTGTCATAGTCAGCTTAAATGAACAATTAATATAACAGTTTTTTTCTATTTCTACGATTGAAACCTTGGAAATCTATGTCACAGTAACCTACTTACCATTTGGACAGCAATGAACCCCATCTTTACAACAGACAGCATCTGGCACTGGACAGCAGCCATATTGACCACTGGGCAGTTTACAACAGGTGTTCCCATTTGGACATTGAGTCTGACCATCTGGACACATCACAATCCCAACATTTTCTGAGGGCATCTTTGCAGGTGTTTTTGTTAACCAAGACATGACAGAATTTTGAAGATGGCATGTGCCTGCACTGACATCACACGTATGACCTGCAATAAGAGAAAGAAATTTCGATACTATTTTTGATCACAAGTACACATGATCTTATATGGTCTCAATCATTAAAGAAATGATCTTACCCTGGGGAAGCTATTATTCCAGTGACTTCCAGTTATGTGGTCCAGCAATTACCTCCCCTTATAATGGCGAAATGTGTGAGTTGCACCAATGGCTTAACCCTAATCCTTCCGGCATATTTTGCAACATATTCCTACCAGGTGGGGTTGTTTATGACCCTGTGGCATTATTCATGACATACCGATATATTTTTGGCTAGCTACACAACAAGCAGCTTTTTAAAGTAAAGAAAAAAACTCTTCTATATTGCCAAGGCAACAGAGTCTAATATTGTAGTCAAATGATATAAATATTTTTCAATAAAACCTCTGTTGGTCCACAAAACATGAAGGTGAAAATTGAAAAAAAAAATGATTATAATAACATTAATGACAATCACTGATAGGGTTTCTAATACATACTTCCATAGTAGCAAACTGATCCTTTTTCTTACAAAATTTGTCTAAGGTCACATTGATCTACTTACCATTTGGACAGCAATGAACCCCATCTTTACAACAGACAGCATCTGGCACTGGACAGCAGCCATATTGACCACTGGGCAGTTTACAACAGGTGTTTCCATCTGGACATTGAGACTGACCATCTGGACATATCACAATCCCAACATTGGTATCCACAAGCACAGCTTTATCTGGTATCAATGAAATGGCTTTAGTCTCCTGAACACATACCCCAGTAGTTGTCTGACAAGTAAAGCCTGAAATAGTCACAATCAGAAAGAAAATATACAAATCAACAAAGCAAAACATAATTAGCATTGGATGAAACTCAATGTGGTCGTATTGTCTTTCACAAAGTGTTCAGTGATTTTTTGTCTTTAATATCTAAGGGACCATTCCCCGACCCAATCAAACTAACTGGGGATAGATCTATCTCCAAGCGGATTCTCTCTAAATTTCAATCAACCTAAGCAGCATGGATGTTTGTCATGCCTACTGAAGCTGCTATGGGTAATTAATGATCATTTAGCAGCTTTAGTAGGCGTGACAGAGATCTAAGTCGNTACAAATCAACAAAGCAAAACATAATTAGCATTGGATGAAAATCAATGTGGTCGTATTGTCTTTCACAAAGTGTTCAGTTACTCTTTGTCTTTGATATCTATGGGACCATTCCCCGACCCAATCAAACTAACTGGGGATAGATCTATCTCCAAGCGGATTCTCTCTAAATTCAGGTCAACCTAAGCAGCATGGATGTTTGTCATGCCTACTGAAGCTGCTATGGGTAATTAATGATCATTTAGCAGCTTTAGGAGGCGTGACAGAGATCTAAGTCGCTCAAACTGAAAACAATTACAAGAAGACCCTATGAGATGGATCCATCAAGTTAGATCAAGCTAAGTATTGGAACCCAGTCCAGGTCCGGGTGATCTTTACCTTAGCTAATAAAATCCCTACCATGTAATTAAAAAAAAAAACACATGCACTCCATATGTTAATCTACCTGTCATAGTCAGCTTAAATGAACTATTAATATAACAGTTCTTTTCTATTTCTACGATTGAAACCTTGGAAATCTATGTCACAGTAACCTTCTTACCATTTGGACAGCAATGAACCCCATCTTTACAACAGACAGCATCTGGCACTGGACAGCAGCCATATTGACCACTGGGCAGTTTACAGCAGGTGTTTCCATCTGGACATTGAGACTGACCATCTGGACACATCACAATCCCAACATTGGTATCCACAAGGACAGCTTTATCTGGTATCACTGAAATGGCTTTAGTCTCCTGAACACATTCCCCAGTAGTTGTCTGACAAGTAAAGCCTGAAATAGTCACAATCAGAAAAAAATATACAAATCAACAAAGCTAAAACATAATTAGCATTGGATGAAACTCAATGTGGTCGTATTGTCTTTCACAAAGTGTTCAGTTATTTTTTGTCTTTAATATCTAAGGGACCATTCCCTGACCCAATCAAACTAACTGGGGATAGATCTATCTCCAAGCGGATTCTCTCTAAATTTCAATCAACCTAAGCAGCATGGATGTATGTCATGCCTACTGAAGCTGCTATGGGTAATTAATGATCATTTAGCAGCTTTAGTGGGCGTGACAGAGATCTAAGTCGCTTAAACTGAAAACAATTACAAGATGATCGTATAAGATGGATCCATCAAGTTAGATCAATCTAAGTATTGGAACCCAGTCCAGGTCCGGGTGATCTTTACCTTAGCTAGTAAAATCCCTACCATGTAATTAAAAAAAAAAAAAAAAAACACATGCACTCCATATGTTAATCTACCTGTCATAGTCAGCTTAAATGAACTATTAATCTAACAATTTTTTCTATTTCTACGATTGAAACCTTGGAAATCTATGTCACAGTAACCTACTTACCATTTGGACAGCAATGAACCCCATCTTTACAACAGACAGCATCTGGCACTGGACAGCAGCCATATTGACCACTGGGCAGTTTACAGCAGGTGTTTCCATCTGGACACTGAGACTGACCATCTGGACACATCACAATCCCAACATTTTCTGAGGGCATCTTTGCAGGTGTTTTTGTTAACCAAGACATGACAGAATTTTGAAGATGGCATGTGCCTGCACTGACATCACACGTAAGACCTGCAATAAGAGAAAGAAATTTCGATACTATTTTTGATCACAAGTACACATGATCTTACATGGTCTCAATCATTAAAGAAATGACCTTACCCTGGTGAGGCTATTATTCCAGTGACTTCCAGTTATGTGGTCCAGCAATTACCTCCCCTTATAATGGCGAAATGTGTGAGTTGCAACAATGGCTTAACCCTAATCCTTCCAGCATATTTTGCAACATATTCCTACCAGGTGGGGTTGTTTATGACCCTGTGGCATTATTCATGACATACCTATATATTTTTGGCTAGCTACACAACAAGCAGCTTTTTAAAGTAAAGAAAAAACTCTTCTATATTGCCAAGGCAACAGAGTCTAATATTGTAGTCATATGATATAAATATTTTTCAATAAAGCCTCTGTTGGTCTACAAAACATGAAGGTGAAAATTGAAAAAAAAAATGATTATAATAACATTAATGACAATCACTGATAGGGTTTCTAATACATACTTCCATGGTAGCAAACTGATCCTTTTTCTTACAAAATTATTCTAAGGTCACATTGATCTACTTACCATTTGGACAGCAATGAACCCCATCTTTACAACAGACAGCATCTGGCACTGGACAGCAGCCATATTGACCACTGGCTAGTCTACAGCAGGTGTTCCCATTTGGACATTCAGACTGACCATCTGGACACATCACTGACCCCACTTTTTCTTTAAACGTCTTTGCTGATGTTTTTGTAAACCAAGAAATGACAGAATTTTGACTATGGCATGTTCCAGCACGGACATCACACGTATAACCTGCAATAGGAGGGCATTTCAAAAGTTAAAAAAAAACTAACACATGACCAAGGCAACAGTCTTTTAGTCATATAAACATAAATTCTATTTAAGGCTCTGTTGGTCTACAAAAAATCATTTTTGAACAGAAAGGCGGCTCCTGGTTATTAAAAAGGATGCATGGAAGGGGGAACACTGGCTCTTTCCGCTGATTATAAAAGGGTTTATTAAGAATTAACGTGAAATTTAAAAAAATACATCTCGCAACTTTATACTAGTATACAATTTTCAGTTTACACTTCTAGTTTCATTGCAGTTTACAAGAAGTCCGACTGTTACTGGTTTTATACATGTAGTTTTATTCATTAGTGTTTCCTTTTCTGAACCATTAGTACGTATTTCAAATGGTTATCTTGCCAGTTGTCAGCAATGTAGGGCCGAGACAGTGTGTACCCCGCTATACAGATACAAGGTGTACATATGGTTTCATGCTTCAAAAGATTCAAAAGACCCTTTTTTTAAGACGTTTCTGTGTAAACATTGACCTTAATAGCCCAGTTGATGAATAATTTTGTAGGTCACAGTAACCTACTTACCATCTGGACAGCAATGAACCCCATCTTTACAACAGACAGCTTTTGGCACTGGACAGCAGCCATACTGACCACTGGCTAGTTTACAGCAGGTGTTTCCTGATGGACAAGCAGTCTGACCATCAGGACACCGGACATCACTGGCTACAACTGAATCTGGACTAATGCTCGATTCCTTCAGTATAGGTGATGCATCAGGGACCTGAGTAGGTGTTTTAGTCTTCATGATTTTCTGACCAGGAGCCTTGTTGAAGTGGACCAGCCCCAGGGTGGCTGCACGGGTGTCGTTTAGCTCACAGCCCCCACCCCCTTCACACATGTGCCCTGGGGGGCAGCAGTACACCTTATCAGCACAACACACAGCCTGGAAAATTGGAGAAAATTGGAAAAAATCTATAACAGGCAATATGTGTCACAGATAATCAGCCTCCACAAACAGTATGACAATTATTTGGATATCGTAATTTCATGGTGCCATAGACGGGCATGTGGAGAAGTTAAATAGCCCATGATTGATGAGGAAAACCAGGCCCGTAAGGGGGGGAGCGGCGGAGTTTAAATTAACCGTCTAAATTTAGCCATTTTAGATTAGCCATATCAATTTAACACACTAAGGCCACATTCATAACCGATAATCTGCAGACTAAGTGGTCCACGAATCAAATATGGCCGACCCCACTCGATGTCGAATAATCCCCAAATGGTGTACCTGTCTACCACATGTGCCAGACCTGATGGCAAGATTTAATTTGTTTAACTCAGCAATTTTAAATAAGCCATATTAATTTAGCCATATCAAATTATAGCAATATTAACAAGTCTTAAAACTATTCTTTATTAAACAAAGTTCATGTATAATTCAAATAAAATCATCCATTTCATACATTGATAGTAGGGCAGCATCCATATCCCCCTGCCTTGGCTGCACAGCAGGTGCTGTTATCAGGGCACTGCTCTTTCTGGTCTGGACATGAGATCATCTTGCCTTCTCTGGATGGTGGCTCCCTCTTTGGAGCTGGTTCTTCAGCTTTTGAGGAAAATTTTTCTTCAGACTGTTTTGGTGGCTGTGACAGGAAAAATGTAAATGTAAAGATAGTTCCACGTAACTAAATTTTTTTGAAATATTCCAAAACTTAAATCATTCAGTCGTTAAAGCTTTGTTTACAAGTGTTCCAGGACATCAACTTTATAATGTTTATTGGTAAATGCCAATGTTTACACTCAAATTTCAATACCATTTATTTAAGCATTACATTTATATTGTATTGTAAAAACATCTTTCAGCCTGTGAATCTGAGTCTTTAACAAACATACAAATTACACTTGGTGTTCTGAACAGTATACGTAATGCTACACATATTTTGTCAGCTCCCACATTGGAGGATTATGGGTATATACAAAAAATACCAGAGAGAGAGAGAGAGAGAGAGAGTTAGAGAGAGAGAATCTTACAAAGAACATATCAGTCCACATTGCAGTAAGGTGTGGGTCTCCACTGGTACACAGTCCTGTACCCTCATCACACTTATGTCCTGCTGGACAACAGTGCAGGGAATTTGGACAACAGACCGCCTGGAAGAAACAAGTCATAAACCATGAACTGTTTGTGAGATATGGTAAATTTTAAGGGGTGAAAAAACACATTAATCCTTTCTCTGAAAGTATTTGTAAGAAGGGTACTCAATCGGACTTTAATTCTTATTTTAATTCTATATTTTAATATTTTAATCTGTAATACCCCTGTACTTGCATAAGTTTTAACTGCCAATTTTCTTATGTGCTACGACAGTGACAAATACAAGTCGAATGATATATAAAAGAGATGTGCAACAGTACATGTACAGGTGCAAATGTGAAGTTTCTCCCTGTAGTGAAGGTGTGCTCAAATTTGGGCATGATAATTAGTTTTTTTCTCTCAATGTCGTCTGTAACTGCACTATGGCATGTCATGAGCATTTGCGAGACATTTAATATGAAAGATGACATCAACAGTGTACTATACGGGTTGAATTTATTGGTCCAACTTGGAAAGAATGATGAAAGTTTTTCAATTTATTTTCCAAGCCGGCTCCCATATACTATATAAGGAGAAAATTGATAAACAACTTGGTCCTTATTTTCAAGCCTATAAGTGGATATTTAGATGTGCTAACTGCTATCAGATGCTTGGAATCTTTATAATCATCCAAGTGTATGCTAAATACTAGTTATAACGACTCATTGTCCACTGTGTGCCACACACAAGAGTAATTACATCGAGGTATGGTAGGGATATTATTTGCTCTAGGTAGTTTTAACTGAATTATCGGTGAATAATGAATTAGGGGTTGATTATGATTAGTACCTTTATGGGTTCATTAACTCATTAGAGGGCCTGACAGTTTAGTAAACTAGCTGATAAGAATTATCTTAAAAGGCCAAGCCTAAAGCTGAAATGCACTAGGTGGAAAAAGTAGCTCAAGGTAGATTTTGGAGATGCATAGCTGTAGGTAATTAAGCCATGTGAACTGTAATTTCAGACCAGTATCAGAAGAAATGAAACGTAGCCTACCACGCGGAAAGAATCTCAGTACGATTATTTTTGGAACTTCAGAGTATTGTAGTTAGGAAAAAAAGAAACATTCCTATTTTTCTTCCCCGATGCCTTTTTTCAGCTTCCTAAACAAGGCAGCATCACAGAAAACTGAACAGACACCTGACACGACAGCTGATTTCACAACTAAACAACATATAACACTGTGTTTAGTCGGTGCCATCTAAATAAGTGCATTATGATTGCAACAAGAGCATTCATTACCAATTTAATGGCTGCATCAGTAAGTTTTGCAGTAGTTGATATACAGGAGCGGATTTAGGCCGTCTTCTGGGTCTTCCGGAAGACGGTCAGACTTTCAAGTTTACATTGAAAGGTGTCTAATTTTTCCGTCGGAAGACGGTCAAAAATGAAGAAGAATGGATCAACAAAGATAATTTGGAAGACTTTCAGAAAATATCTCTGTATCCGCCCCTGATATATATATATATATATATATATATATATATATATATATATATATATATATATATATAAATCACCAATGCAAATTTGACAGATCTTATCAAAGCAAAAGTATCACAGCTTCATGTACAGGTACAATGTAGGTAGGAAAATTCCGATCGCTATTCCCGTTACTATTTCACCAACGAAAAAAAGTCAACAGGTATAGAAGACAAGCATGAGAACCCTTCATTTATTAGATAACAGAAAACGATATTGAAAAGACCGAAACAGATTTCGAGGTGCTGATGAAAGCTTGAGTTCAAGCAATTGTAATGCTGTATCCAAGCGACCATCAGAGAGGGACAGCAAGCAATCTAGATTATAATAAGTTCGGGTTGCTCGTGAGCAATCAAAACAACGTATTTGAGACAATGGGCAATTATTTGTTCGATCGTAGTTGTCTTTAAAAGAAAATGTTATGATTCCAGTCTTTTCGTTTTATTTTTTCATGGTTTCTCATGCATGGAGCTTTAACTGAATAGAAAACTGCTAGCCCACCGAAACGGGGAGCCTCATAAGAAACGCAAGGGAATTGACAAATGTGGTATAATTCTCACCATTTTTCAAAAAATCGGGGTCATGTCGATACTCCCCTGCACCGTTATTCCCCCTCACCAATACTCCCCCTAAGTAAATTTTTGTGTTATGAGCATCGATACGACCCCACACTGATAGATCCCCGTATCAATACATCCCCTGTAAAATTGCCAATGTACATGTAGGCGCACCGTTACTCCCCCACACCGATACTCCCCCACATCATTGCTTCCCCGCATCGATACTGCAGGGGAGTTTCGGTGCGGGAGAGTATCGGTGCGGGGATATACTAGTGCGGGGGCGTTTCGGTGCGGGGACGTATACATAGGGATGTTACCCTAAATACGTACATTTTCTCCTTGGCAACAAACAGCAAAGCCTGTCACCAGATGGCAACAGGTGGCTCCCAAAGGACAGCCCGCATCGGTTTCTGGTGGACACGGCTGATTGCGTCCTTCATGTAAGCTGGTCTTGTGGGACTCAAAGAACAAAGTGCTAGCTGCTGCCAGTGGCAACACTGCTATGAATAATAAATACAGCTGCTTCATCTGAAAAAATAAATATTGCAGAAAAATATCAGGTATCAACAAAGTGGCACATGATAACGGGTACTTTTACATCTTCTTCGGCGATCTTTTAGGGGAGACCGGGGCTAGTTGGACCCCGGGGTAAGTTGGCCCCCCCATCAATTTATGACAAAGTAACTATGAGGTAAAAGAATTGGAATACTTTGAACTTATGTTAATGTCTTTTGTGCGGTTTATCTTCGTCAAACTAAGTTTTGAATTGTAAACCATTTGAAAGTCTAAACCCTTAAAGACTGTTCTCAGTGGGTTAGATTAATGTATAGAAGCAGGTTCTATGTAAAGCTTTGATCAGATTTGTGTTTTGTGAGATTGTTTATTATTATATTAATAAGTCTGGGTCACAAAAGTCCTGTTAAGACAACTAGAATAAAGAATTAGAAAACGAAAACTATTTATCATGATTTCGGAGCACAGCCAGAAGTACTTCCGGCTCAAGGTCACGACCTCGATTTTCCCACGCTTACGACCAATCACAGCAGGCTTCAGTCAGAATGAGATAGACGTCACGACTACACAGCGAAACTTGTCAGACATGTAAGTGCCGCCTGTCCATCTTTTCGGTACATGTACCGATCAAAAATAGACAACGTAAAGCCCAAAACGCTCTTATACACGTAACCAACTTTGTATGAGCACAAATATTGTCATTTATTGTGAACAGGATAATATGATAATCAGACACACTTGAGACCTGTGAAGCGCATACTCACGTGTCGAGGAGTAGTTTCGCCATTGCCTCGTATGTGAGTCCTAACTCAGCTTTAAGTGTCCTCCACCGCCCCACCTCCCTCCCAACATACACAGTCTGAGTGCTTCTTCGTCTGTCTCTAATTTTCTTTCGTATCTTTCGAACTGGAGTGGCTATTTTCTTTCGTCCCTTTTTGTCGCTCTCCTCTTCAGACTTGACGCGCGTCTGAGCCATGTTTGCTGTTTTGGCGCCAAATAGTAACATCCGGGTCTCAGCCGTAGTACTTCATTCATAGTAAACCGCGAGACTTAGCGAGAAATTGCGCGTTCTGAAGCCGTACTGTGAGGTGGTAGCTGAGTATTTAAGACGAGTCGTCTTTTATTATTTAATGGAACTTAAAAACGGTATTAGGTAGGTTCATTTTCTCAACGGTTTTGGATAGGATATACCTTGGTCATTATGGGGAAATTGGTGAGATTTCCAGGAAAATTCATTTTCGTGCTATTTTAAGGGTTTAACGCGCTGAGACTGTCTTTAATAAAACCATGTACGTGACAATTATACCTGTGAAACTGTCACCATTTTTATCCTTCCCATTAGTGCAGGAAGTTTTTAAATGTTCATGATTCTTGATAGAAATTTTGATAGCTTTCAGAAAACAATTTTAATATGTACTATGAGGATGTCTCACACTTATTGAAAATTTGTATTGGTAACCTTTAAAAAAGAAGTGTTTCACAAGATTATTTTATTTATAAAATACTTATTTATATATTTACCTCAGTTAATTTAAGTATAAATCATATTATCAGATATCTCTAATAGATTGGCTTTTTGCTTTTTAAATATAATTAACGCACAAACAAGTCACAACAGTTCTTTTTCACTTTCCTTTTTTTTGCGACACACGCAGTAACCACTGATAATCTACCTCTGATGTGTAATAATAATATAATTATTTATAATATATCACGGATAGGGAAGTCGGTGGAACTGAAAGTACTTTTGAGGCCTACAACAGCAAAAACATGTCGTTGCAGCAGCAAGCTTCAACATGATTTAAGTCACAACGATATGTTGATAATTATGTTTAGTCGGTTTAAATGTAACGGTAATATGACTGGGTCGAGACCCTCAAAAACGATGTTGACTTCAAGTTCGAGTTTAAATTCCATTGTTTTGTTCACATTTAAATGTAAGAAATATCTACGCTCAATTTGCCAACATCAGCGTAATTATTTAACATACCGTGTGTTCCGAGTTGTGCCTCTTTTGCATATTTCACCAGTCTTGTGTTCGGCAGATAAAGTGTCCGCTCGTCAAAGCAACCCGGATTAAATAGCGGCTTTCGGCTTGTGATAAAATCATGTGACGATTTGTGCATTAAGTGGCCGTTTGGCACGCACTGTTGCACCAATGTTGTCACTGCTGCTGATGGCCTCACTGTTGCACCAACTGTCAGTGTTACTGATGCTGTCACTACTGCCGATGGCCTCACTGTTGCACCAACTGTCAGTGTTACTGATGCTGTCACTACTGCCGATGGCCTCACTGTTGCACCAACTGTCAGTGTTACTGATGCTGTCACTACTGCCGATGGCCTCACTGTTGCACCAACTGTCAGTGTTACCGATGCTGTCACTACTGCCGATGGCCTCACTGTTGCACCAACTGTCAGTGTTACTGATGCTGTCACTACTGCCGATGGCCTCACTGTTGCACCAACTGTCAGCGTTACTGATGCAGTTACTACCGCCGATGGCCTCACTTTTAATCAGAAATCGAAGGTGGGCGCAGGACCCCTTGCTCCCCCCCCTTAAATCCACCACTGCGAAGCTATATTGGAGGCCTCAGTATGTTGTCTTTAAATTCATTTTCAAAATTGTAGGCATCTTACGAGTGGGGGTTTAAGGTGAGATATGCCAACTGCTCGTCAAGGTGTTGCGAATATCACTAATGATTTAAAAGAGTCACGCGCCAAAACCAATGTCAGACGTATTTATCCTGTGCACATAGAAGACCACGAAAGGGGGACATGAATAAGTAAGGTTTTTGTACCCGGTACAGAACAGTTGATATTAAAATGGACCTCTGAGCTACATTTGTGAAAGGTAACAACGCTCGCTCTTTTTAGTTCCTGTGTTTCCCATTTTTACAAGGCAACCGTTTGATAGCAGTTTGCTTCATGTAGTAGTGGCTGCATGAAAACAGACCTTAGAACCAAGATCAAAGCTGCTCGCCTCTTCAAAGCACACTCAGTTTTCGGTGAAAAGTGGTCGTGCGAAGGCCTTTCAGTTTCAATGCAGTTGCCGCATGCTTTCAAGAAAAATCACTTGGGGGGGGGGGGGAGTCAATTGAATACCTTTAACTTATTGATTTTCACACATATATCTTGCATTCACTTTTGCACAGGTGTGACAGGAATAGTAACCCGCTAGGAACCGTAGTACCATTCGATGTACTTTATATAGNTTTGAAGGGGTGAGAACACACATTAATCCTTTCTCTGAAAGTATTTGTAAAGGGTACTCAATCGGACTTTAATTCTTATTATAATTCTATATTTTAATATTTTAATCTGTAATACCCCTGTACTTGCATAAGTTTTAACTGCCAATTTTCTTATGTGCTACGACAGTGACAAATACAAGTTGAATGATATATAAAAGAGATGTGCAACAGTACATGTACAGGTGCAAATGTTACGTTTCTCCCTGTAGTGAAGGTGTGCTCAAATTTGGGCATGATAATTAGTTTTTTTTTCTCTCAATGTCGTCTGTAACTGCACTATGGCATGTCATGAGCATTTGCGAGACATTTAATATGAAAGATGACATCAACAGTGTACTATACAGGTTGAATTTATTGGTAAGAATTATTGGTAACTTGGAAAGAATGATGAAGGTTTTTTAATTTATTTATTTTCAAAGCCGGCTCCCATATACTATATAAGGAGAAAGTTGATAAACAACTTGGTCCTTAATTTCAAGCCTATAAGTGGATATTTAGATGTGCTAACTGCTATCAGATGCTTGGAATCTTTATAATCATCCAAGTGTATGCTAAATACTAGTTATAACGACTCATTGTCCACTGTGTGCCACACACAAGAGTAATTACATCGAGGTATGGTAGGGATATTATTTGCTCTAGGTAGTTTTAACTGAATTATCGGTGAATAATGAATTAGGGGTTGATTATGATTAGTACCTTTATGGGTTCATTAACTCATTAGAGGGCCTGACAGTTTAGTAAACTAGCTGATAAGAATTATCTTAAAAGGCCAAGCCTAAAGCTGAAATGCACTAGGTTGAAAAAGTAGCTAAAGGTAGATTTTGGAGATGCATAGCTGTAGGTAATTAAACCATGTGAACTGTAATTTCAGACCAGTATCAGAAGAAATAACCAGTATCAGAAGAAAAAACGTAGCCTACCACGCGGAAAGAATCTCAGTACGATTATTTTTGGAACTTCAGAGTATTGTAGTTAGGAAAAAAAGAAACGTTCCTATTTTTCTTCCCCGATGCCTTTTTTCAGCTTCCTAAACAAGGCAGCATCACAGAAAACTGAACAGACACCTGACACGACAGCTGATTTCACAACTAAACAACATATAACACTGTGTTTAGTCGGTGCCATCTAAATAAGTACATTATGATTGCAACAAGAGCATTCATTACCAATTTAATGGCTGCATCAGTAAGTTTTGCAGTAGTTGATATATATATATATATATATATATATATATATATATATATATATATAAAAAAATCACCAATGCAAATTTGACAGATCTTATCAAAGCATAAGTATCACAGCTTCATGTACAATGTAGGTAGGAAAATTCCGATCGCTGGGCAGTTATACTTTTCCCGTTACTATTTCACCAACGAAAAAAAGTAAAGATAAAGTAAAGGTAAAGAAGACAAGCATGAGAACCCTTCATTTATTACATAACAGAAAAACGCTATTGAAAAGACCGATACAGATTTCCAGGTGCTGATGAAAGCTTGAGTTCAAGCAATTGTAAGACGGAGGCAATGCTGTATCCAAGCGACCATCAGAGAGGGACAGCAAGCAATCTAGATTATAATAAGTTCGGGTTGCTCGTGAGCAATCAAAACAACGTATTTGAGACAATGGGCAATTAATTGTTCCATCGTAGTTGTCTTTAAAAGAAAATGTTATGATTCCAGTCTTTTCGTTTTATTCCTTCATGGAGCTTTAACTGAATAGTAAACTGCTAGCCCACCGAAACGGGGAGCCTCATAAGAAACGCAAGGGAATTGACAAATGTGGTATAATTCTCACCATTTGTCAAAAAATCGGGGTCATGTCGATACTCCCCCGCACCGTTATTCCCCCTCACCAATACTCCCCCTAAGTAAATTTTTGTGTTGTGAGCATCGATACGACCCCACACTGATAGATCCCCGTATCAATACATCCCCTGTAAAATTGCCAATGTACATGTAGGCGCACCGTTACTCCCCCACACCGATACTCCCCCACATCATTGCTTCCCCGCATCGATACTGCAGGGGAGTTTCGGTGCGGGAGAGTATCGGTGCGGGGATATACTAGTGCGGGGGAGTATCGGTGCGGGGACGTATACATAGGGATGTTACCCTAAATACGTACATTTTCTCCTTGGCAACAAACAGCAAAGCCTGTCACCAGATGGCAACAGGTGGCTCCCAAAGGACAGCCCGCATCGGTTTCTGGTGGACACGGCTGATTGCGTCCTTCATGTAAGCTGGTCTTGTGGGACTTAAAGAACAAAGTGCTAGCTGCTGCCAGTGGCAACACTGCTATGAATAATAAATACAGCTGCTTCATCTGAAAAAATAAATATTGCAGAAAAATATCAGGTAGGCCCTATCAACAAAGTGGCACATGATAACGGGTACTTTAATTTTTACATCTTCTTCGGCGATCTTTTATGGGAGACCGGGGCTAGTTGGACCCCGGGGTAAGTTGGCCCCCCATCAATTTATGACAAAGTAACTATGAGGTAAAAGAATTGAAATACTTTGAACTTATGTTAATGTCTTTTGTGCGGTTTATCTTCGTCAAACTAAGTTTTGAATTGTAAACCATTTGAAAGTCTAAACCCTTAATAAAACCATGTACATGACAATTATACCTGTGAAACTGTCACCATTTTATCCTTCCCATTAGTGCAGGAAGTTTAGCCTTTTTGCCGCCTGAATAGCCACCAGTCAAATACCATAGTTATTACACAACTGGGAAGTGAGAGCACTCCTTCTTATCTCCCAATCTAAACAGTTTACCCTTATACTATCACAATATAGCGATGACTACTGATATTGACTGAAAATATTAACATTTCATTTATAAATTTATAATTTGACAAGATAACATTTGATGTTTTTGGCAACTTCCAGTACAGGGTGTGAAGGGTGTGAAGTCTTATCAATATTATCTGAAAGCCTGATTAAATGTTTTGTACAGCGAGAAATGTTTGTACTTAGTCTAAAATTTTTATATATTTCATACAAATACATGAAGATTTTCATCTGATGAACTGATGTTCAGTTGTCACCAGTGTCTAAAATCTTTTATATTTTATTTTTATTTATTTATTTATTTATTTATTTATTTATTATTATTAAACATTTTTAAGAAAGGTTGTACAACCACTTTCATTGGAGTTTCAACAGTCTTCAGCTTGATATATTTTTGGGTTTAAATGTTCATGATTCTTGATAGAAATTTTGATAGCTTTCAGAAAACAATTTTAATATGTACTATGAGGATGTCTCACACTTATTGAAAATTTGTATTGGTAACCTTTAAAAAAGAAGTGTTTCACAAGATTATTTTATTTATAGAATACTTATTTTTATATTTACCTCAGTTAATTTAAGTATAAATCATATAATCAGATATCTCCAATAGATTGGCTTTTTGCTTTTTAAATATAATTAACGCACAAACAAGTCACAACAGTTCTTTTTCACTTTCCCTTTTTTTGCGACACACGCAGTAAGCACTGATAATCTACCTCTGTTGTGTAATAATAATATAATAATTTATAATAAATCACGGATAGGGAAGTCGGTGGAACTGAGAGTACTTCTGAGGCCTACAACAGCAAAAACATGTCGTTGCAGCAGCAAGCTTCAACATGATTTAAGTCACAACGATATGTTGATAATTATGTTTAGTCGGTTTAAATGTAACGGTAATATGACTGGGTCGAGACCCTCAAAAACGATGTTGACTTCAAGTTCGAGTTTAAATTCCATTGTTTTGTTCACATTTAAATGTAAGAAATATCTACGCTAAATTTGCCAACATCAGCGTAATTATTTAACATACCGTGTGTTCCGAGTTGTGCCTCTTTTACTGTTGCATATTCCACCAGTCTTGTGTTCGGCAGATAAAGTGTCCGCTCGTCAAAGCAACCCGGATTAAATAGCGGCTTTCGGCTTGTGATAAAATCATGTGAAGATTTGTGCATTATATTAAGTGGCCGTTTGGCACGCACTGTTGCACCAATGTTGTCACTGCTGCTGATGGCCTCACTGTTGCACCAACTGTCAGCGTTACCGATGCTGTCACTACTGCCGATGGCCTCACTGTTGCACCAACTGTCAGCGTTACCGATGCTGTCACTACTGCCGATGGCCTCACTGTTGCACCAACTGTCAGCGTTACTGATGCAGTTACTACCGCCGATGGCCTCACTTTTAATCAGAAATCGAAGGTGGGCGCAGGACCCCTTGCTCCCCCCCCTTAAATCCACCACTGCGAAGCTATATTGGAGGCCTCAGTATGTTGTCTTTAAATTCATTTTCAAAATTGTAGGCATCTTACGAGTGGGGGTTTAAGGTGAGATATGCCAACTGCTCGTCAAGGTGTTGCGAATATGACTAATGATTTAAAAGAGTCACGCGCCAAAACCAATGTCAGACGTATTTATCCTGTGCACATAGAAGACCAGGAAAGGGGGACATGAATAAGTAAGGTTTTTGTACCCGGTACAGAACAGTTGATGTTAAAATGGACCTCTGAGCTACATTTGTGAAAGGTAACGATTTCTCGTAACAACGCTCGCTCTTTTTAGTTCCTGTGTTTCCCATTTTTACAAGGCAACCGTTTGATAGCAGTTTGCTTCATGTAGTAGTGGCTGCATGAAAACAGACCTTAGAACCAAGATCAAAGCTTCTCGCCTCTTCAAAGCACACTCAATTTTCGGTGAAAAGTGGTCGTGCGGAGGCCTTTCAGTTTCAATGCAGTTGCCGCATGCTTTCAAGAAAAATCACTTGGGGGGGGGGGGGGTCAATTGAATACCTTTAACTTATTGATTTTCACACATATATCTTGCATTTATTTTTGCACAGGTGTGACAGGAATAGTAACCCGCTAGGAACCGTAGTACCATTCGATGTACTTTATACAGGCGACATTCGTCCAATACACTAGCCCCTCCCCCCCCCATACCCCGACTAGCCCCTACCTGTGCTAATCATTTGATGGTAACCCCGGAATTCCATTCCTGTCACACCGGTTTAACACCACAGAGGATAAACAGAATTTGTTTTGATTTACAAGGTTTTTTAAAACGTCCGTATTTTCACCAGTTTTACCGTCTATTTTTAAATTCTAAAATATTTAAAAATAAGAGAAAATATCGAAAATGCTCAATTTCTTAGTTGCGAAATGTAATTATAATAGAAAGACCAAACATCATGCAAACAGGGACATATCATGACTCCTCAATCCATTTGTGTTGGAATGTGGTTTATTTGCCAAGAAGGCACGCACTGACTCTTCACATGTTACAAGCGAGATCTCTTTATAAGAAAAGTTACCATCACCTCTGAACTTAGAATTAGCTTAACAAGCAAAAGTGACGCCAAACAAAGCATATGGTTCACTTATCACACTTCTATGAAATACGTGTCATCTACTTTTTTTCTGAGATATGGTATTGATGTTTAAGCATTTACCCCGACATATTGGCAATAAAGATATATGGCATATACCCCGGTATTTACATACTGCTTGCAGTTTAATTTTCAGTCTCTCATACTCTCGGTTTCTCAGGCACTGCAGTCTATACAGAAATTATTTGCACAACTTTCGACATCGGTTTTTCAGATTTCACATAAATAATATGTATGCAAAAAGATGATAATTAACTCATCTTTGAACAATTTCATTATCACCTACAATGTGTTATACATTGGCATTGTTATGTGGCAAGTCACCACCACCATCCCTGAAAGTTGGTAAGTTGTGTGTAGCCTAAATTTAACTTCCACTTGGTAACGAGTTTTTGTTCATAAAGCAGCGAGCATTCATGAATGAGGGGGGTTACTACTGGGTATATAAGATGTGTTGGAGTGGAACAGAAATGTACCGTACAAATCAGAATCAGAAAAAAAAAGAACTGAACCGTAGAAATCAGAATAAAAAAAAAATCAATGTTTGATCCAGTAAGTGCAAATTATTAAAGATATTTCCCTTTGTCTTATATCTTCTGTCTGCAAAAAGTCTACTAGAAGCAATAAACAGAGATTTTCTAACACAGCTTTGGGTTGTTTGCAATTTACATATCCCTCTTACGACATCTTTTATATCCAATGGGCTACATAATATAATAAAACTGTTTTGTGATGCAAAACATGATTAATACATCCATAAAGCTTTTAAAGTTTTACTGCCAATGACCCTGTAAAAATTCAAAATTCTCAGCATATAAGCACGCTTACTAAAAAAGATGTTATCATTTGGCTATAAATATGAAATATTACATTTTTTTTCATGTCACTTAAATGAAGTCTTTTCAGTAGTATGCAAGGTCCAATGTTTAAGTATTATAATACAATGTTCAAACCAAACATAAACACTCATTCATTTACTATCACAAAGCAACTGCATAGCTCTGTTTTTGCACTTGTTCTTCTTTTGTGTTTGTAGAAGCAAGTTGACTAATAATCACAGCTCTTTATCCTGGTTAACCATGTTTGTAAACAAAATAGTTGAAGCTATAATGTCTTCTATCCACAATCTGTGTCAATATTTGGTGTATGAGCTGTCTGCAACACACCTGTTTTTTCTTATCATGGAATTAAAATAAACAATTATAAATATACAGATTCCTCTGCAACCAGATATGGTATGTGTGACCAGAGTTAGCTGTTGTTTCTACAGAATTCTACAGGTGAAACACAGTTTTAATGCTTAATAAATAAATAAATAAATAAATAAATAAATAAATAAATGGGAAAATTTACTGAACATTCAGTACAATACTAAAAGCAACCATTATGAAACACTAGTAGTTGCATATGAACACTATAATGCAGAATGGCTCTGTCTTTACATTTGTCAATAATACATATTATTGGATTCACTGAGAGCCTGGCAATAGAAATATAATTTCATTAGAGACATCAAAGTAACATGTGTCCTCCCTTTGCTGCTCTTTGGGTCAGCTTCTGCATGAACTCTGCCTGACCTTGACCTGATTTCTTACATGACCCCTTTGAGACATCACATTCGTAGCCCTCGGGACAGCAGTGTTGGCCATCACTGCAGCAAGTGGCCTGACAACAAAGACAATGGGTTTCAAATTAGAAAATTAATAACCATTATGCGTCTACACGTATTAATTTTTTTACTTTTATAGGTGATTTCAAAGTAGTTAAAATGGTATTCTTTAATAACAATCACTAGTGCCCTGGATTTGGTCTTAAAGTGCAATTTAATATCACAAATGATCTTACACGATCTTAACCATTACAGTAGTAGTCTAAAAATGGACTGAATCTGCTTTAAAGATCAAAAATGATCTAACACCTACATAAGTGGTCAAGCAGTTTCCTCCCCCCACAATGGGGGATACCTCCCCTCACAATAAAAGACTACTTTTCTCACAATAGGAGAATGTGTAAGGGGAGACAACTTAATTGTCTTTCAATCCAGAAATGGTCTTACTCATAATTTAAGATCATGTAAGACTATTTATGATCTTAAATTGCACTTTAAGACCAAATCAAGCCCACTAGTGAATACTGTAACAGGGGTTTAAGTTTTAATCTTACTAGGTGCATTAACATGAAGGGAACTTAATTTTCGATAAAGAAGTAACTTACGGATGATTCTGCTTACTTTCTGATTACAAGTGCCAGACACATATCACAATACACATCGATGTCTACACCCTAGCTCACTTACATAAGGCAACGGACAGCATCCATATCCGTGTGTCATTTTACAACATGTATTTCTGTCTGGGCAGGACTTGGTACCACCTGGGCATACCACACTCTCCACACTGCCTGCATTGTCCCTCTCCACTGTTAGTGATTTTGCTTCTGTTTTTAAAAACCATGGAATGTTGGTCTTGTCTTGCTGGCAGGTGCCCTGGCTGACATCACAGGTGGACCCCTCTTGACAGCAGTGAAGACCATCAGAACAGCACACAGCCTGGAAACACAGAAGACAACCATAGTTTTGAATGTATTTGAAGAAGATCAAATTCTTCAAACTGATGCCAAGTCCATGGACTTGGTGTGATGAAACTGAGGGTCAGAGTAACAGAGAGTCCACCCTCCTTTTAATTGTGCAGGTTAGCCTGGCGTAAGTGGGTCAAAATCTAGGGCGAGGCTTACCTGGGCAAACTAATGGGAACTGGACTCCCTATCCTGTTTACATTGGCACTTTTCGAGTGCACCCCCCCCCCTCCAAAAAGAAAAAAAAATTCCTCCATTTCCTTTTTATCTTTTGCACAAATCCTAAACACAGGGTTATGTAGAGTTATGTGTATGAATAATCTAAGTTCAAGTTCACTAACAATTTGATTAGTATTAAATTTTGGTGGTTAAATCCTAACCTACACTAACAGCAATCAGGATGTTATAGTACTGATAAAAGATTCTAATATCAGGGGAAACCAAAGTCTGCCTAGCAGAGCAAAAGCAAAGCAAGAGCAAAGCAAGAGCAAAAAAAGAGGGGAAAAAAGTACTTGAAGTTATGTGGACTCTTAAGATCTCATCCATCTTGGTCGATAACTTACTGCAAGGTGTGGACAGCACCCATACAGACCGCTGGCCATCTTACAACACGTGTTTCCAGAAGGACACTCCGCCTCACCGCCGGGACAAATGACCTCTGTCAAAAGTTCAGTCTGCTCAGGTGGCTCTGTCTTCTCAACAAGGGTTCTTGAGAGGGCAGGCATCTTCCTGAGCATGGGCAAACTGGCTCCAGATTTCCGCTGACATTTTTGTTTCTGCACATTGCAAGCACTTCCTGGGGGGCAGCAGTGCTTGTGGTCCGAGCAGCATACAGCCTGATGGAAAAGTTGCTTGGTATAAAACAAGGATGAAGCAAGAAAGCAAGCAAGCAAGCAGGAAGGATTTCAGTGATAATAGCAAGCATTCACAGCAAAAGCATATCAAGACTGGGAAGGCACTCAGAAAAAGCAGACCACCACCAAGGAAGCTCAACTGATCAGTTCTAAATTAGCAGGCAATTTCTGACCTATCCTGAAAATTTCATCAAAATCAGTACAAAACTTTTCAACTAAAGCATTAGCCTCCTTGACAGAAGTAACAAAGATAAAGCAACCAGGCATGAAGAATATGTGATAAAAATAAGTAGCAAGTTTAAAGCATATAATTAGGAAGTCAGCAATTCCTTTTGCCTTCAAAAAATCTAAGTAGAACTTCATAAAAGAAAAAGTTAGACCTACGCGTGGCAGTGGACAGCACCCATAGCTTCCAGACGCCAGCTTACAACAAGTGGCTCCACCTGGGCATTCTGACTTGCCACCTGGACAAATGTTATTTTTTCGACGTACTGGCTGTGTGGCGGGCATTTTCTTCAGCCAGGGGAACTGGATGTCCTTGGCCCCACATTGTTCAGTTTTGGTATTACACTCAGTCCCTAAAGTAAAAAAAAATTACAAATTGTTCATACAAAAAATAGAATTATTATTAAATTAAAAATAGAAAGAGTTATAGTTCTTATAATCGTTACTACAGATATGCTGAACAGCTTAGTAAAATAATTTCATATTTTGCAGGGTTTTTTCTTAAAGGTAAGCTTTGGTTGAACATATTCATAATTTTAGTGATTTTCTGATTGGTTTTCATAAACTATCATGCTTAATGAAAAATATGACATGGAAAATGATAAAATAAGTCTTGCAAAATAAGTCTTGTTAAATTCTATTCTGCTTTCAGAAAATAAGATATCAATAAATATTCTTAGATTTCCTATTGAGCTAATAAAATAATTATCAAGACAATACGAAATTGGTCTCAGTGGCTTAGTTTCAACACTGAAAACACATGGTTGTTGCATCTTTTTGTTATTTGTGGTAGGCAACTCCGTCAACTGTACATGTAATTGCTTCAGCAGTCTTAACCAAGGCCTTTACACATCTATATTTTCCAAAGCCACAAAAGACTAAAATCTACTTTGTGAAACACGACCCTGGCTTCTTTACCTTGTGGACAGCAGTGAGTGCCATCTTTACAACACACTGCTTCAGGCAACGGACAGCAACCATACTGACCACTGGTCAGCTTGCAACAGGTGCTCCTAGATGGACACACAGACTGGTCATCACAGGTTATGTCAGGCTCACTGTCCTGAACTGGCACAGGCCTGTCATGGTCCACCTCTAGCATGGATGTAGACATACTTGTCATACTGGAGGGGGTGTTACGGAACAACAGGCTCAGGATGCCACGTCTGGTGCAAAGTCCGTGTGTAAGGTCGCATCTTTCTCCTGAAAAGGAAAACAAAACCTGGTTACTGGAAAACAAACACTGTATTGGCAGCTTCTAGAGGCTTCATATTTATCCAAGGGACAACTGAGCTGGTTTTCAAGGTAAGATCACTGTACAGGAATCGGTTGCTCCCTGATGAACATGTCTGGCACCTGCAGACCTATTGAAGGTAATACCAGTGCCTTGCAGTTTCTCATAGCCTATAATAAGAATAAGAATGTTTACATTTTACAAACTTATTCATGAGTCTTTTGGATCTTCTCTCCATCTATATATATATTAAATATGTTCAGAAATCAGCCAGGCTAGTAAAAGTCAGCCGGGTCAACATCTCAGGGCAATTGCTAAACTAGTCCCAATTTGGCTTTAGATAATGGAAAATATTGGTCAAATCTATCATTCATTATTCACCAAATCATCCAAATAAGGCAATTATTTCCATTTATTCTACAGCGCTAGCAGTGCTTCTACCTACCACTTGGACAGCAGTGGCGGCCATCACTACAGCAGACGGCATGTGACATAGGACAGCAGCCATAGCCACTACCATGCCTGCAACAGGTGTTGCCACTAGGACACATTGACCGTCCGTCTGGACAGACCACAGAACCCACTGGACTTGGCTGGATTGGCTTGGCAGCTAGTTTAGGGAGCCATGGGATACTGACAGCTCCTCGGAGACAACGCTGTCTGCTTACGTCACAGGTGGTGCCTGGAGTGATTATATATAAAATCATCAAAAGTGTCTCTGGTTGCAGTAATAAACTCCATTTATTCCATTGATCTATTTCTCTAGATTCTGCATTTAAATTATAATTATGTCATCTGGGCATCAACCACAAACAACAATTTGACCACAATATTAACTTATCAATAAGACAGCAACATACAACTTTCCCAGCTCCAATAAAATCATTTCTGCATACAAATGTCTCCCCCCCCAACCAAGAAAAGGAAGAGGGGGAATGGGCACTGCTACTGTTATTCCTTTATAATTTACTGCTGCATGCAAAAATATCCCTCTCCTATCCTAGAGCCAGTAATACCCTACACCCCACCACCAACTCCCCCTTCCCCCTCTGCCCCACCTCACCCCACCCCACCCCAAGTACATAACCCAGGACAAACCTTCTGGGCAGCAATGCTGGTGGTCACTACAGCAGACAGCATTGGGGACTGGACAGCAGCCATACTGACCATCCATCATTTTACAACATGTCTGGTAGGAGTCACACTGCTGGGTCCCTCCAGGACAGGCCTTCCCAACTGTGACTCCACTGTCCAAATCCTTGGATACAATGTCCTTCTTTTTCGAGGGGTTTACAGATCCAAGAAGTTTATTTGGACTTATATTATCTCCCATTACGATTGCAGGAGTTTTGGTGAACCAGCTCATACGGTCACTGCCAAAACTGCAGGTGCCTGTTCTGAGGTCGCATGTGTATCCTAGGAATTGGAATAACCAGCAAAATCAGCAACTGATTAAGCTCCTTGGGTCACAATGAACCACTTCTAATGTAGGCAAAAACATTTCTTGGTCACAGTGACCTACTTCCCCTATGGATAACAAGATATTTCAGGGTTACAATGATCTACTTACACTGTGGAAAAGAAGATGATTCTAGGTCTCAATGACTAATTTGCAATATGGACAAAAATATATTTCTGGGTCATAATGACCTACTTACACTGTGGATAACAAGATATTTCTAGGTCACAATGACCTACTTACCCTCAGGACAGCAGTGGATATGATCGCTGCAGCAGACGGCCTCCGGTAAAGGGCAGCAGCCATAACGGCCTGTGGCTAGCAGACAGCAGGTGTTGTCGTTAGGACAGCTCCCACCATCTGGACAGATGTTATTGGTCATTCCAGATGGTTTGAGAGCAATTTTAAGTGACCTTTTCATAACAGACATTGCTGTATTCTGTCTAACACAATCCCCAGTACTGACCTGGCAAGTATAACCTGAAAGAGGCAGAATCATTAAGAAAAGCAAAGAAACGAGGAAAACCATTACTTGCTGTGGATGACACTCAACATAGTCCAGGTGTTCCCAATGATGTGTACAGTAAATCTGATATTACATTTGTATAATATTAACCATAGCTCATTATATTATTTTCATTACATTTTTATAAAGCTGCAGAAACACATCCACTCTCACTGTGGCACTGACAGATTGAATGAATAATAACTCCGCTAACATCAAAGGCATACTAGGCCACCTTGACCTATTTACCATGTGGACAGCAATGTTTCCCATCACTACAGCAGACAGCATTTGGCTGTGGGCAGCAGCCATATTGACCATTGGCTAGTTTACAGCAGGTGTTTCCATTTGGACATTGAGACTGTCCATCTGGACATATCACTGGCCCATTAACACATTCCCCAGTACTTGTCTGACAAGTGTAACCTGAAATAATCACATTCAGAAAGAAAATCATGTAACTATATACAACACACTGTAAGATTAACTATTAGCAAATTATATTCCTGCCATGTAATCTAAAACATAAGCATTGCCTCTGTTAATCAACCTGTGATTGTCAGCTTGAATGGTCTATTTTTCTAGCAGTTCTTTATACTATTTCTTTGGTTAAAACCTTGGAAATCTAGGTCACAGTGACCTACTTACCATTTGGACAACAATGAAGTCCATCACTACAACAGACAGCATTTGGCTGTGGACAACAGCCATATTGACCACTGGCTAGTTTACAGCAGGTGTTTCCATCTGGACATTGAGACTGACCATCTGGACATATCACTGACCCCACATTGTTATCCACAAGCTCGGCTTTATCTGTTATCACTGAAATGGCTGCATTTTCACGCACACATTGTCCAGAACCTGTCTGACAAGTATAGCCTGAAATAGTCACATTCAGAAAAATAAATGTACAAATGAACAAGGAAAGCCATAGTAAGCTTTGGATAACATTCAATATGGTCCAAGTGTCTCTCACAAGGTACCGACGGTATACAGTAATTTGGCATCATGAATAACATTGTCAGCTTGAATGAACTATTTATCTAGCAGTTCTTTATACTATTTCTTTAGTTGAAACCTTGGAAATCTTTGTCACATTGACCTACTTACCATTTGGACAGCAATGAACCCCATCACTACAACAGACAGCATTTGGCTGTGGGCAACAGCCATATTGACCACTGGCTAGTTTACAGCATGTGTTCCCATTTGGACATTCAGACTGACCATCTGGACACATCACTGACCCAACATTCTGTGCATTTGGCCTTGCCAATGTCTTAACAAACCAGGAGACTCTCTGCTCTCCATTATGGCATGTTCCAGTCGTCAAATCACACTTTGTTCCTATTGTAAACAACTTCATTTTTAAATATATCTAAATAATCAAAAGGCAAAAATATTTAATCTCCTAATAGACACTTACATAGATCTGGTAGATGTTAAGCAGAGACTCCATCTAGCAAATCCAGGTGTCCAGTGTGAGATTTAATATTTTTGCCTTTCAAATATCACAATTTGCTTCCTAAAACATTGAAATGATTTTTGGCAATTTGTACTAAATTTAGTCACAGCAACTAACATCAATATGCATAGTATAACTGAATAGTTATGACACACAAATTATGTAGTATTCAAGGCCTCTTACCATCAGCAGCATTGACAAAGCAATGTTCTTAGTTTTTTACTTATGTGAAAATAAGTTTATGCATCTGAACACTGAAATTTCAAGTTGTTTCCCAAAATCAAAATGACACATAACTAATTAAATATCCAAAAATAAAATATAATTTTATTATCAAATACAAAAAAAAATTATCACATGGCCATGAAAAAATTCTAGGCCACCCTGACCTACTTACCATGTGGACAGCAATGTATTCCATCACTACAACAGACAGCATTTGGCTGTGGACAGCAGCCATACTGACCACTTGCTAGTTTACAACAGGTGTTCCCATTTGGACATTCTGATATGCCATCAGGGCACATGACAGACTGTAATTTCAGGCTGACAAATGTGGCTGGAACTGAAGTAAGCAAGGGAGTTTCAGAATCTGGAGTGATGCACTTCCAAGTGTGGTTCTGACATATTTGTCCTGAAGAGAAAAATAATTGAAAAGAACAATAAAAAAGAATAAGCAGTTGGAATATTCTAAATCTGCATTAATATTGGTTTCTTTTTCTACCAACATGATTTACTTTTCAAATTGGGAGAAAATGCACCACCTTTTATTTAATGAAATTAACATAAAATTTTGGTTTCTGATTAAAACTTTTAGGAATATCTGTGTGATATCTGAAGTTGCCATTTCAATATATTTTGTGCACAAATCAAAAGGAAATGGGTGATTAAATAATTTGACTCCATGGAATAAACTAGAGGATCAGAGAGGCGATACCGCCTCCAAATATTGTACCACCAGCTGGAGCAAGCGCATTCGTATAGACCCCCACATACACAAAATAAGCCACCAGTTTTGTGCTTGACAAGCTGTAAAAATGCAATCNAATAAGTCAAATATCATGCTGCAACTCCTCCATTCTCTTCATGAATATGTTTCCTTGAATTTCAAAGAGTAACTAACTTAGCTTTTCTAGCCAACTCACAATGACCAGGTGACTTTTATTTCAATCTACAATAAGAAATCATAATCAAATTAACCGATTTCAGGATAATCTAGGTCAGACTGACCTGCTATTGAGAAATATAGGTCAAAATAACCTACTTCTAAACAATTCAGGTCAAAATGAAATCTTACCCTGTGGGCAACAATGCACACCATCTCTACAGCAGACAGCATGTGGTGTTGGGCAACAACCATACTGACCATTGGCCAGTTTACAGCAGGTGTTACCGTCTGGACACTGAGACTGGCTGTCTGGACATAGCACTGTACTTCTAACATTTCCCACTGACAAGGCTGTAGTCTTCGTTAGCCATGGAATGGCTGAGTATTGGTGCTCACATTTTCCTGAGCTGACATCACACTTGTATCCTGCAAGCAAAACCTTGTATTGTATTTTTTGCAGTTTGACCACAATTTACTTGAAACTTGCTCTAAACTGTGATCTGAGAGGAATTCAATATATTTCTAGGTCACATTGGCTTACTTTGGAAAAGAACAGCATTTTGATGTCACTGTGAACTACTTACCATTTGGACAGCAATGAACTCCATCACTACAACAGACAGCACGTGGTGTTGGGCAGCAGCCATATTGACCACTGGCTAGTTTACAGCAGGTGTTCCCATCTGGACATTGAGACCGCCCATCTGGACATATCACTGACCCTACATTGTTATCCACAAGCACAGCTTTATCTGTTATCACTGAAATGGCTGCATTTTCACGCACACATTGTCCAGAACCCGTCTGACAAGTATAGCCTGAAATAGTCACATTCACAAAATTGAACATACAAATGGCTAACCATTGAAAATTTGCTTTGGATGCCACTCAATATGGTTCCAGTGTATTCACTGTGTGTGCAATCTTTACATAAGCTAATGAAATTCCTGCCATGTAATTTTAAACACATGCATTCCCTCTGTTAATCTACCTGTCATTGTCACCTTGAATGAACTATTTATCTTACAGTGCCTTTTCTTACTTCTATTCCTTTGGTTCAAAAATTTAAAAAATGGACATCTAGGTTACAGTGACCTACTTACCATGTGGACAGCAATGAACTCCATCACTACAACAGACAGCATTTGGCTGTGGACAACAGCCATATTGACCACTGGCTAGTTTACAGCAGGTGTTCCCATCTGGACATTGAGACCGCCCATCTGGACATACCACTGAACCTACATTGTTATCCACAAGCACTGCTTTCTCTGTTATCATTGAAATGGCTTTAGTCTGACGAATACATTGTCCAGAACCTGTCTGACAAGTATAGCCTGAAATAGTCACAAAATCAGAAAATTAAATATATATCAATAAACTGGGCCAAACCATCAAAAATTTGCTTTGGATGCCACTCAATATGGTACAAATGCCTCTCATTGTGTGTTCAATCTTTACACTAGCTTATGAAATTCCTGCCATGTAATTTTAAACACATGCATTCCCTCTGTTAATCTACCTGTCATTGTCACCTTGAATGAACTATTTATCTTACAGTGCCTTTTTTACTTCTATTCCTTTGGTTCAAAAACAGAAAAATAGACATCTACCGGTAGGTCACAGTGACCTACTAACCATTTGGACAGCAATGAACTCCATCGCTACAACAGGCAGCATTTGGCACTGGACAGCAGCCATATTGACCACTGGCTAGTTTACAGCAGGTGTTCCCATCTGGACATTCAGACTGACCATCTGGACACACCACTGACCCCACATTTTCTGAGAGCATCTTTGCCGAAGTTTTTGTAAACCAAGACATGACAGAATTTTGCCTATGGCACGTTCCTGCACTGACATCACATGTATAACCTGCAATAAGAGAAGGGAATTTCCATACAATTTTTGATCACAATCACAGGATTTTACATGGTCTTAATCACAACAGAAATGATCTTACCATGGTCTGACTCTGCCTTGAAGATCAAAAATGATCTTACCCTGGTGAGTGAAGCTATTATTTGAGTGACATCCAGTGAAGTGGTCCAGCAATTACCTCCACCAACGGGGAAATGTGTGAGTTGAGACAACTGCTTAACCCTAATTCCAACGGCATTTTTTGCAACATATTCCTATCATGTGGAGTCATTTACTGTATGACCCTATGGCATTTTTCATGACATACTTATATATTTTTTTGGTAGCTACACAACAAGTAGTTTTTTCAAGTTAGGAAAATCTTTCCCATATGGCCAAAGCAACAATCTCTAATATTTCAGTCACTGAAATATTTTCCATTTAAGCCTCTGTGTGTCCACAAAACATGAAGGTGAAAATTGTAAAACAAAAATCACTACATTCATGACAGTGAACCATGGCGTTTCTATTACATACTTCCAAGGTAGCAAACTGATCCTTTTTCTTACCAAATTTTTCTTAGGTCACAGTAACCTACTTACCATGTGGACAGCAATGAACCCCATCACTACAACAGACAGCATTTGGCTGTGGACAGCAGCCATAATGTCCACTGGCAAGTTTACAACAAGTGTTTCCTGATGGACATTGAGACTGACCATCTGGACATATCACAATCCCCACATTTTCTGAGAGCATCTTTGCAGCAGTTTTTGTAAACCAAGAAACGGCAGAATTTTGACTATGGCATGTGCCTGCACTGACATCACATGTATAACCTGCAATAAGAGAAGGCCATTTCAAAAGCTAGGAAAAAAAAACCCCAAACACGTGACCAAGGCAACAGTCTCTAATATTTTAGTCACATAAATTTATTCCATTTAAGCCTCTGTTGGTCAAAAAATATCATTCTGTAAAACATGTTTCTTTTGGGTCCCCAAATGCAGCCCCCAGTAATTAAAAAAAGGGGCCAGAAGGGAACACAGGCTCTTTCTCCCTAATGAAAAAGTCTTATAGGATTCTCGTAAGGGCTGGTGATTATAAAAGGGCCAATTACCAGGTGATGTGAAAACTGTAAAAGAAAATAAAAGACATCCAGTCCCAGTCTTTTTATTGATGCAACATTTTCAGTTTACATTTCCAGATTCATTGCAGTTCATTAGCAGTCTGACCTTAATTGGTTTTATAGTTTTTCATTAATGTTTCCCACTCTTTTGTATTTCAAATGTATTTCTTGCCAGTTGTCAAGAACATAAGGTCTAGACAAAGTGTACCTCACTTAACTGACCCATGGGGTTTATACATCATTTTATGCTTCAAAGGCTTCAAAATGTCCCTCTTTTCAAGGATGTTTCTAGGTCAACACTGACCTTAATAGCTTAGTAGATATATATGTTTTTAGGTCACAGTGACCTACTTACCATGTGGACAGCAATGTATTCCATCACTACAGCACACAGCTTTTGGCTGCGGGCAGCAGCCATAATCTCCAGTACTTTGTTTACAGCAGGTGTTTCCCGATGGACAGGCAGTCCGACCATCTGGACACTGGACATCACTGACTGTAATCGATTCTGGACTAATGCTGGATTCCTTCAGTAGTGATGCATTAGGGACCTGAGGAGGCTTTTTAGTCTTCATGATTTTCTGACCAGGAGCCTTGTTGAAGTGGACCAGCCCCAGGGTGGCTGCACGGGTGTCGTTTAGCTCACAGCCCCCACCCCCTTCACACATGTACCCTGGGGGGCAGCAGTACACCTTATCAGCACAACACACAGCCTAGAAATATGGAGAATTTAAAAATTAAACGAGACTTACCTTGGCTAAGTTGAAGTTTGATTTCAATTCTTTGAGTAAAAAATAGATGGAGGGCTCGCCCTTCTCGCTGCGCTCAACCTAAAAGTGCCCTGTGCGTGCAACCAGATCTTAATAAAGACCAAGGAAATTCTTTTCTGAAAGAGAAACGTCTGTAACAACCAACATAAGTCACAAATGTTCAGCATCCACATATACCTTGCCGAGCATTTGTTTATCCTGATTTTAAGGTGCCAAAGAAGGGTATATGAAAAGGTAAAGAAACCCATGACTTCTGAGGTGAACCAGGCCCATCCTCGGGGGGGTGGGGGGTGGGGGGGGCATGGGGGGTGTCAAAGGAACTGTCCCTTTGGCTCAAAAAAGGTCTGCTCTGGGTAAAATTTGAACTAGGTACACTAAAATTTCAAGGTGGAAGGTCCAGAAAAAGAACCCCCCTTTGAAATTGCTGGCTACGGGTCTGTAAACTTGATGAAATTGATCAGTTTAGCAAAATACAAATGTGAAGAAGCTGTCCTCTGTTTGCTCTGTAACACTGGCTAACTGTTGCTCACATTGGTAAACACATTAATGGATTGTTTTTCTATATTTACTGTGGGCCAGCTCTGCTTGATCAGAAACATTGTAAATGGTATTATCTAAGACTGCATTCACATCGAGTTGAGCCAGGCTTTACAAATCCTGGGACTAAGTATGGCGGATGTACATGAAAAAAAAAAACGCCTACTCTTTTAATAGTCTCTCCGCCTCTCACATGCCTCCCCACGCATCGTCCCTACAGGGGTACAGTCATTAAATCTCGGCTTCATTGGGACGACACGTGGGGAGGCGTGTGAGAGGCGGGGAGACTATTAAAGATTAGGTGGTTTTTCTTTCATGTACGTCCCATATTTAGTCCCAGGATTTGTAAAGCCTGGCTCAACTCGTTGTGAATGCGATCTAAGTTTCACAGTCTCACTTCAGCCACCTTATCCTTTTTAATCTACTTTATCAATTAGCCATATCAATTTAGTAGTCTTAATTAAGCAATTTAATTTTAGTCATGATCTTAATTTAGCAATGTCTAATTAGCAGTCTTACCAAGTCTAAAAAATATGTTTTATTAAACAGGGTCCATCTAATTAAATAGGATAACCTAACAGATGTCTTACATTGATAGTAGGGCAGCATCCATATCCCCCTGCCTTGGCAGCACAGCAGGTGCTGTTATCAGGGCACTGCTCTTTCTGGTCTGGACATGAGATCATCTTGTCCAGTCTGGATGGTGGCTCCCTCTTTGGAGCTGGTTCTGTTTTTGCAGGAATTTTTTCTTTAAACTGTTTTTTTGGCTGGGAGGGAAAAAGGAATAGCTTAAGATATTTTTTTAGTTAACTAATTTATTTTGAAATATTTCAAAACTTAAATCATCCCATCCTAAAAGCTTCAATTTGATGCATCTGTACCATGACATCTGCCTTATAATGATAAAGGGAAAATATGAATGTTTCAACTCAAATAAATACAACTTATTTAAGGATTACGTAAATTTTATATTGTAAAAACCTATCAACCTGTTTTTCTTTCACTCTTTAATAAAAAATAAATAAAGCAATAATGCTACAAATAGTTTGTCAGCTCTAACATGGGTACAGGTGTACATATCAGAAATAAGACCAGAAAATGAGAGAGAGAGAGAGAGAGAGAGAGAGAGAGAGAGAATCTTACAAAGAACATATCAGTCCACATTGCAGTAAGGTGTGGGTCTCCCCTTGTACACAGTCCTGTACCCTCATCACACTTATGACCAGCTGGACAACAGTGCAGGGAATTTGGACAACAGACCGCCTGAAAGGGACAAGTGGCAAAACAAACTGTTTGTCAGATATAATGGTCAGTTTTAAGGGGCTAGTTAGAACACACAACGCAAATTATTATGGAATTGACAGATGTGGCATAATTTTCACCATTTGTCTAAAATACGTACATTTTCTCCTTGACAACAAACAGCATCCCCAGTCACTAGGTGGCAGCAGGTGGTTCCCAAAGGACAGCCCACATTGGTTTCTGGTGGACACGGCTGATTGTGTCCTTCATGCAAGCTAGTCTTGTGGGATTCAAAGAACAAGGTGCTTGCTGCTGCCAGCGGCAACACTGCTATGAGTAATAAATACAGCTGCTTCATCTGAAAAAAATATATATTCCAGAAATATATGGGGAATTAACAAAGTTGCACAGGATATTAGGATATAATTGTTCATCTTTTTCAGTTCATCTTTTTATTTATTCCTTACAGCAAAGACAACAACTAGGCTTGATCTTTTAATAAGGGTTCTTAAATAAATTCTGTCCAACTTTTGTAAGTTGACAATGTAGCAATTATTGTATGAGTCAGTTTTTATTAATGACATAGATAGAAAATTGATGCTGTGAAGATCACAGTATTAATAATGGCAATACTCTGAGTTAGATAAAGATGCACTTGGTTTATACAACGAAGGGTAAATGACTTATGAGCCTTCAAATTGTCTTTTGGTATAGATTATCTTAGCCAAACTATCTTTTGAATTGTAAAACAATTCATTTAACAGTACTAGTATACACCCTCATTAAAACCTTGTACATGTACATCACACTCATTAAGTTTAATTTTACCTGTGACAATGTCACCATTTTTATACTACCTATTAGTGCAGAAAGTTCAGCCTTTTAGCTGCCTGAAGGGTCGCCTTGCAAATACCATGATAGTTATTACACAACTGGGAAGTGAGAACACTTCTTTTTATCTCCCAATCTAAACAGTTCACCCTTATATCATCACAACAGTGCTGGTTATTGATATTGACTGATAACATGTAGACACCATGTTTTTTTGTTTTTTTTAATGGACATATTTTTCACAGCCCTTAAAGTACATTTTGTCATTTTAATCACTTATGTTTATGGCTCCCTTTTCCCACATTATTTTTGTTGAAAAATTATTACTTTGATCATTTATTTTCTAAATTACAACATTTACTGTTATAACTTTTCTTTATTTTTATTATCCAAACTAGAGTTGCATTTAAACTATTTACATTAAATAAGTTAGCTTTAATCCACAACAGAACAGAAAATTGCAGAAAAAGTCATAAAGCAGTTTTTAAATGATTTTTCTGAGGTAGAATTGAGGAACTGCACAGGAGAAAATGTATTTAAATACTAGCAATATTGTCTGTATCACATAAGGAAGAATCTATTTTCAAATTTAAAGGTTAATTGAGTTTCATCATAAATTCAGTACTAGTAACTGAATGCAAACTACATAAAGCTTTTTATCACTCAAAGGTTGAAGGGATCAATGACACTTACAAAACAGGTCAATAGGATGACACTGTGGTCATTGTGACAGGAAGACAATTGATAATCCAGTATTAAACCCTGGCTTCTCCATGCCTTTCTTATCAACAAGAGTGCAAGAGTACATACTGAACCAGCATTAGTGTGCGTAGGCCTGGATGCATGCACATGCATCGCATTGTATGCATGTGCACATGCAGGCATTCTTGACAGAGACTGTGCGCATTGAATATTCACATATCTTTGTCTTGTATCATGATATATTATCTACTCCCACAGTTTTGTAATGGTAGCTAGATACTGGGCCTAGGCCTAGTCCCAACTGGGTATAAAAAGAGACGTTTAATGAATATATATCTAAACGGGCTAACTTATTATCATGTCAAACCAGCCTTTTTGAGGTGTCATGTATAATTAAGCTGCAAGTGCCTTATAGTTTGATAAAAATGCAGGTAGATAGATAGCACTGCTGCTTCTACAAATGAAAAAGAACCTAGCAGTTCTATTTAAAAAAATCCTCAAGAGATGCTACGAATTGAATAACCTTTAAAAATTGAACAATTGTGACATCAATTTTAAAATCAAGTTCAATTAAGGATGACCACAGCATTTCAATAAAGATGGTGAATAATTATAATCTCACTCAGTGTAATCTGTAAGTGTAAAGTTAAGTTAAAAGTGAAATTTTGAAAAGGGGGTCAATATTATGTACATGTAAACTTTTTGTTTTTGAAAAAAAAATTGAAAATAGTTAAGATTGAGAAATTAATCTATACACATATATATTAAAGTACAAATTTGAAAATTAGTAAAACATTACTCAGACTGAACATTGCTAAATATAGTTTGTATTAAAAAAATAACATTTCATTTATAAATTTATAAACTGACAAGATAACATATGTTTTTAGCAACATACAGTGCAGCTAGGTTATAAAGGAAGTAAATGTTATCAATATTATCTGAAAGCCTGATTAAATGTTCTGTACCGTGAGAAATGTTTGTACTTAGTCTAATATTTTTTTATATTGCATACAAAAATATGAAAATCTTCATCTGATGAACTGATGCCGAGTTGTCTCTAGTGTCTAATTTTATTTTTCAAAGCAAGGGTGTACAACCACATTCATTGGAATTTCAACAGCCTTGAGCTTGATGTATTGTTTGGATTAAAATGTTCATGATTCCTGATAGAAATTTTGATAGCTTTGAGAAAACAATTTTTAATATAAATTACTAAGATGTTTCGAATTTATTGAAAATTTGTACTAGTAAATAACCTTTAAAAAGAAGTGCTTCACAAGATTATTTTATTTATAAAATAGATAACTTCAGATCAATTAAGTATAAAACTCAATATCAAATATCTATAATAGATAAGACTGGATTTTTGCTTTTTAAGTATAACGCAAAAACAAGTCACAACTGTTCTTCTTGGTGTAAGGCAAACTTTCACTTTCCCTTTTTTGCGACACATGCAGTAAGCACTTATCATCTACCTCTGTAGTGTGATAATTATTTATCATAAATCACCAATGGGGAATAAGTCGGTGGAAGTGAGTGCTCTTTCAAGACTTATATTTTGATGCCCACAACAACAAAAACATATCGTTAAAGCAGTATGCTTCAGCATAATTCAGGTCACAATGATATGTTTATAATTACGTTTAGTCGGCTTAAATGTAATGGTTGTCTGACACTCAAAAACGATGTTGACTTCAAGTTCACGTCTTCGTGCCATTGTTTTGTTCAGTGATAAATTTATGTGAGAAATATCTACGCTTATTTGCCACATGTTTGTAATTATTGAACATACCTTGTGTTCCGAGTTGTGCCTCTTTTACTGTTGCATATTTAAACACAGTTTTGCGTCAGGTAGATAAAGTGCCCACTTGTCAAAGCAACCGGGATCAAATATCGGCTTTCGGCTTGTGATAAAATCATGTGACGATTTGTGCATTACATGGCCGCTTAGTGCATATTAGTGTACAGTGTATATATATATATATATTTCTGATAACTTTCATTTTTACCCTTTTTATAGACTAACAATATATGATTATTGTGCAAATAGATGGTTCACGCTATATTTGCAAAATGTGGTACTTGTTGTTATAGTATAAGCGACAACTATATGCTTCATGACCTTGACCTATTTTTGAGGGATCTTCAAATCATGTTTATGATTATACTTTTATGTGCAATTATTCCAATCTCTCTAGGATTCTGGGTGATAAGTGTCATTCTGAATACGTACAGTGGAGATGGAGGTATTGTGGTCCCCTTGCATTAGTTTTTGAAGCTAGTCTTTACTTGCAAGCCAGCAGGGCTCGTCGTTAACTTTTTTTCAGTACAGTGTGCTGTAGGTTGCTACTGAATGCAAACAGGCTCTTTGGTTTAGTTGCTGTTCCAGATTTAAAAAATCCATATACAAGGTTATGCCGGTTTCACTGCATTTTTTTTTCACAAAAAGAGATTTCAGAAAACATACTATATAATATAGAAAAACACAACCACGCAACCCTCAATGTCAAGCCCTAAACCCAGACTGTGTTACTTTCATTTTTACTTTGTAATCGGGCTTGAAGTTAAGACTGTGTTACTTTCATTTTTACTTTGTAATCGGGCTTGAAGTTAAGTCTTACTGGTAGATTGATACATTGTACTCATTGATAGTCTATGGATGTCATTGCTAATAATATCTTCCTACGCTGAGGAAGGTGTCCTCCTGTAGGACTTGTGAGGGAAGAGAAACCCAGTTGACTGCTATACAAGTACAAGAATAGTTTCTGCATCGGTTTATTAATCATATAGCGATTCTACAACAATCGTTTACAAACCAAGCAAGGTGACAGCAAAGTGTGCCTCGTTTGTAAAAATGATGTATGAAAAAGCCAAAATCAGGTCTATATACCTCTGTTGAGTCCAAACGCCTCAGAAACACCAGAGTGCCATTTCATACCTTGGGCTTTATGAAAAAGCAACCATGCCCTTGGACCAGTTTAGTCATGTCCAGCTTCATATTTTCGTTCAAAATTCATATTTTCAGGGTTTTTTGAACCCATATCACCTTGGCGATGGTTGTTTTCCATTCTGGCTCCCATATTCTTGTCTCTGTGGGGAAGAAGAAGGAAAAGTCTAGATAAATCTGGAGCTTTGGCAGGTAAATATTATTATTGTTTTAATTATTATCATTATTATTATTGATAGTAGTACCACCAGCTTGAGCACTGGGGGTACTCATGGTTTTAGCTCTGACCCGCCTTGTATGGCTTTCACCAGTTCCATCGTCTCAGCTTTATGCTCAAGGCTACAAGTCCACGTTACCACTTCTCCTAGATTACGAGGGCCTGTGTCCCCATCTCTTTGATTTAGGTCACATATAATCTGAACTTGAACCCTGTAGATTTTGGGCTCTGTCTGTGCATTCGCCTAGGTATGACATTCTTCACAATGCACCCTTGTAAAAATTTTTGTGTTGAATATATCACAAACCAAAGGAAGTTACTATAAAAGTCTTTGTGTAGAAGTCTGACTGAAAGTTGTGTGGAGATTTCAAATATCCCCTTGGATTTCACCTTTCTTTCAAGGTCAAATAGGGTAAAATTCTGTAATAATTAATGGGAATTTTCTATGAAAAAATCTTTTGCAAATTTTCAGAAACTACACAGACCAAAGCTTTCATATTATAGTGAGGAATTACACTTAGAGACCATTCCCACAGATATTTAGATCGATCTATCCCCCTGGGGAGTCTCACTAAATTGCTGTCAACTTGGCTGGCTTAAATGTCTGTCACGCTTAGTAAAGCTATAAGGGGGTAATTATCTTTACCCTAGCTGATTTGGTAGGCGTGGCAGACATTTAAGCCTCTTGAGCTAACAGCTATTTAGCGTGAACCCCCAGGGAATTAAGTTGATCCAGACGGATCGATCTAAATCTGTGGGAATGCAGTCGTAGGGTATCCTTTTGTATTCATGAGTTTGAGGTTATTTCGTGCAGAAGCAGCACAATACCACTTCATTTCTGCTCTGGTGATTCCTTTGGCAGTTTCCTTCAGTTAACCTGACCTACACTGTATGACATACATTTGTAATACCAGAAACTTGCCAGGGCAGTTCCATTCATTTTTTCAGGCCTACCTTTCATTGCAGAGAAGAGACTGGCAGCCAAAACATGTTTTCATTTTAGCCGAATGGCAGTAAAATTAGAGTGATGTCAGCTGATGCCTTACTAAATCTTTAATTATACTGGTACCTGCATGATGTTTTAATTGTAGGACTGATAATTGATGTATGTGTTTTTATTTTAGGACTGATAATTGAATGATGTACTTATTTTAATTTTAGGACTGATAATTGATATATATATTTGTTGCAATTTTAAGACTGATAATTGATAAATGTGTTTTAATTTTAGGACTGATCATTGGTTTTATATTAACCTTCAGCAGTGCATGCTTCTTCTCCTCTTTGCTGGCTTTCTTCTTTTTTGCATCAAAAGCTACGAAATTCCGTAGCGACAAAAAGAAGAAGTTGGAAGCAGATTTTAAAGAAGGTATTTTTTCTGTGGAAAGTTATTTTTGTTTTCCAAGTCAGTTATGTGTACAGTATACATATATGCATTAGTAATGAAATATATGTTAGTTATACCTTTTCCTTTGCTTACATTTACACCTTACAGGTTAACATAGCTGCTTTTATGAATGAATCATGAAGAATTTCTATTCTAATTAAGAAAAATATTTTTTTAAGTAAAGAAATAATTGCAAACAGAACCAAACTTTAAAGTTAATTTATTTTTAATCATTTCTTCTGATTCAAGAAAATGTATTTAATTATGATATCCAGATGTTATGACCTTTCATGACCTTTGTGTGACCTTTGACCCTCAGGTGGTCAGAGGAACTGGGTGCAGGTGTTGTGCAATGGAGGTGTTGCCACGGAGATGGCAGTGCTCTATTTGTGTGATGTGGGGTGTGGGGAGAAGCTGCTGAACTTTTCACAAAACTACAACGCCACCTGGTGGAGCATGGCAGTTTTAGGTAAGGCAGAAATATTTTGTCTGATCTTGATTTCTTCTGATGATATCAATGATGATATTTACCTTTAAAATGTTACCAGGAAATTCATCTTGTCGGCATTTAATTTTTTTAATTCAAACTCATCAATTTAATGGCAAATAAAAAGATTTATATCCTTATAATGTTTTGATATCCTTATACTGCACTAGGGCTCTTGACTAACATGTTGGTTTTTAAAGCTATTACAAAAATCGATATCTTATGTATATTTAATATGTAAGTAAATATTATTATTATTGTTATTATTATTCAGGGGCTATAGCTGGTTGCTGTGGAGACACTTTTGCCTCAGAACTGGGCACAGTGTTGGGGTCAGGTGTCCCCAGACTAATTACCACTCTGGAGAAAGTACCCAAAGGTTACTTAACATTCTCACTCTTATATCATTTGAGGTTTAACAATTAAGTAATTTAAAAACAGTATTTGAAATAAAACAGTATTCAGATTGTCTTTATATAACTGATAAGATGGCTATGATGAAATTCAGTTTGATGACCAACATGCCCAGTTATTTGTTGATCTAGGTTCTTTTTTCCCTTTCTTAATTTTTTTTAGGGGTGTTAAGTATGTACTAGTAAATTACTAATGTGTCAATCAGATTTTAATCATTAAAATGTAAGATGCCTCTCCACATTTTGACATCAGGCAGGCTATTTTTAGACTTTTATGTTAATTAAGAGTATCTGTAGGGGAGGAAGCAGATTTTGTGTTTCAAAATATCCAAGTCAGTTGTATAGCAGCAAAGCTGATTTTGAAAGTAATAGGAAAATGCTTCTGGATATTTCAGGGACAAATGGTGGCGTGACCATTGTAGGAACCCTGGCCAGTGCATTTGGTGGTTTTATAGTGGGCGTGGCTTATTATGTTACCTTGACCTTGCTGGAGCAGTCCAGTCATCTCACCAACAGTCCCCCACAGTGGCCAGTTGTTGTCGTGGCAACACTGGCAGGGGTCATGGGGTCACTTATAGACTCATTGCTAGGGGCAACATTGCAATATTCAGGTGAGTAAATTTTTAAAATTTTTGTACTGGTATCTTCATCAGATATGTGTTCCTGGATGGAATTTATAATTATCTTTACTTTTGGTAATTGCACCTAAAGAAAACTATCCTGGTTAAATTTATAATTTTCTTCATTTTGGACAAAAAAAAAGTTGATTGGAAGAAATTAAATTCTTAATTGCACATTAAAAATGGCCCTGTTTAAAATTGACAAATTTCTCTACTGGTATTTATAGGTTATTTAGGTCATTTCACAAAAGGAAGCACATGTATGTAGTTACAGTAGAAGAACCTGTGCTTGGCTACATTTAGCAATTTTCCTCATTTTCAGTTACTGCAATGCTGCCCCCCCCCCCCCCCCCCAAAAAAAAAAAAAAAAAGAGGATAAAACGATGTTGTTATGGTTAAAGTTGTGTGTTTCTCTATCTCAGGTTATTGCACAAAGAGGAGGTGTATAGTAGAAGAACCTGGTCCAGGAGTGGAGGACATCTCAGGCTCAGCTGTGCTGGATAACCATGGGGTCAACCTATTGTCCTCTCTCTTCTCAAGTCTTTTCACTCCTAGGATAGCTTTTCACATCTGGAGGACTCTGCAGTGAAAATAAGGGGGGCACTGCTTTATATTTCAGCCTCTTGTGCTCTCTCTTTACAAGTCTTCTCACTCCTAAGGTTGCTTATATCTAGAGAACTGTTCTGTGAAAAAAGGAGACATTGTTTTATATTGCATCCCCATGTGATCTGTCTTCACAAGTCTTATGATTCCTAGGATAGCTTATCACATTTACAGAGTAAAAAAAGGAGACATTGCTTTATATTTCACCCTCTTATGCTTTCTCTTCACAAGTATTCTCACTCCTAGGGCAGCTTATCACATCTGGAGAACTCTAAAGTGAAAAAAAAGGTGACACTGCTTTATATTTCACTCTCTTGTGCTCTGGATATCTACTCACTGTCAGGCTAAGAATTTTCTAATTTCTGTGATAGAAGAAAAAGTTTTTTTATGTGAGAGCAGAGATAAATCATGTGACATGGAGGCTGAGTCATGTGATAGTAGAGTAGGTAGTCATGTGACAGGAAGCCTGGGTCACATGACATGAAGGCTAGGTCACGTGATAGATCATGGATCATCTTTGTCAGAATTATTTGACAGAGGAACTATGACATAGCAATCTGTACCACTGGTTGTTCCTAATTGAAATGAGACACACATGTGTGGGCTGTGGTTCTTTAGGGTCCAGTAATTATAATTCTGTAAAAAATCTTCTACATCACTTACTCTGTTATCATTCCTGTGTTAAGTAAAGCATCAAGTATCTAAATACAAGTACATGTAGAACTCTGTGACAGTGGATTAACTTTGTTATGTACAGCATGGCAGGTGAGACACAGGGATGGGACAGGAATTGGTAGGAAAAAATTTTAACTCTGTTGTGTTGTTTAGAATTCGGTTGGTTTTCTGATTTGATTATGTTCCAATTACTTTATTGTCCTGTGTGTTATATGGAATGTGCATTCCATACAGATAAGGCATGTTAAAAGTGACATTTTGTTGAATTATGACAATCTGTTAGTCTAAGATTAAATATTGAAGTAAATGTGGCATTTTGTTAGATGAGGTAGTTTGTTAGATATGATATATAATGTTAGAATGTGCCATCATGTTAGGATATTGCATAAAATTGTGACATTTTGTTAAATTAATTTTTTTTTTTTTTGTTAGATGATGAACTGTGTTAGATATGACAATGTGTTAGATTGTGCCTTTGTTGCAGATGTGACAATTTTTGATTGTGAAGTTGGATTCTTATGTTTGAATAGTCTTACCCAAGACATTGTTGAGGTATGATAGATGTGACATTATGTTCTGTTTGACATTGGTTAAAGTGTGGTACTGTAATAGATTTGACAGTAAGCTGAATGTGAAGATAAACTGAATATTTACTGGTGTCACTTGATTTGCTCAAACATTACAAAATAAACATATCTGTTCATTAAACCTAGGATCCAACTTAAGTTATGTTCGATCCTAGAGTTAACTAAGGTCATACCAGTTATTTGTTGGTATAGTATTATAGGGGATGCCATGAAAACCCAAGGTGAATTCTATTTATTGGCCCCTCATTAAGTCAACCTTAAGAAAATGTTAATTACATATTTAATTTGTCAAACGCAACAATTGGGTCATACTTAGTCAGGGTGGAAATGCTTCAGTGATAAGTTAGACAGAGTTTAATTTGTACCCTGTTAACAGATTCTTTACACTTTTTAAAAGCTTTGTTGAGATGTATTGTAGTCTAGTATTTTCTATTTTGTTCATACATTGTATTACGTAGTTACTTTCGCTCTGCATTATTAGTATTGTGTATATTAAGTATAATAGTATTGTGCTAGTATTTCACAACTTTTAAAATATAGCTTATGTCAATATTCAGTGTTTCCATTTATTTTTCAATTTTTTTAAACCAATCTAATATGAACATAACCTGCTTTCTATTTTTTTTAATGCAACATTGATTCATTACCATATTGCAAAGCTTAAAGAAATCTGGATAGAAAAATTAGCAGTTAATTTTGCCATGCCTAGAGACATTCAATTTCATATTTGTGAAATCTGTATTGTTTTTGGTGTAAGTTTTATATGTTGATATAGTGATTTTTCAGATAATACTATCAGTTTTAGACTTGTATATGTTCTGTAAGTGCAGAGTATAGTATTTTATGGAGAAAAATGAAATTGAAAATATGAGTCTTGGATAAAGGGTTGGTGCTTAAGATTATTATTATTATTATCATTATTACTTATGATTATTTTGTTGCTAAGGCGATGTACAAGAAATGTGAAAAACTTCTGTACAGACACACATAAATAAGAGGAAGTCTGTTAGTGATTAATATTTTGAAATTCTTACAAAATATGAATATTATATCAGTTGTGAGATTTTGTACAGATATAACAAAAGGGATCACTTATTTTGTATAATACCCGGTGTAATACATATAATACATACATATATATAATCTTGGGGATATAATCTTGAAAATATATCACAGATTATGAAAATTTGAATTTTATGTACGTACATCTTTATTCCTGCTTTTAGAGCAAACCGAGAGAATGTACAGAAATAAAGATAGTTATATATACACTATCGGTTACAAACCATTGCAAGTTATTCAGCTTTGTAGTGCATTGAAATGGACCTTAGCACATGAATGCTATTTTTTTCTTTATTTTGGTAAGATAGATCAACATTTTTATTTATTTATTTATTTATTTATTTATTTATTTATTTATTATTATTATTTTTTTCAATCAAAACATGGATTGGCAAAATTGACTTTCGTCATTTTATTTTTTGTAATTTTTTATTTTTATTTTTTCATTATTATTATTTTATTTATTTATTTATTTTTTGCCCATTCCTCCACACTGAACAAGAATTCCTGTCTGTGACGTGATTATGATGAAAGTGGTAGCTATATTATTCTCAAGCCATTTTTGGAGAAAGTGCAACGTTCACTTTCCTCTTATGTGTACACCTGTGTACGCTTGTGCGATAGTCTACTCTCAGTTTTTCAGGTTGCGTTATACAAAGGGTAGCTGTTGAGACTGAATTGACATGCTATTCACCACAACCACCTTTCGTTTAATTCCACAACCTGCCGCAGGGAAAGTTCACGTCTTTAAACTCTGTTAATGAATGTGCCTTAATTTTTTCACTAGGTAATCAGCCTATAATAGATAAATCCAAACAAATTTATCGAATTTCGGCGAAGGTTGGCAACATACAAATTTTCGAACGCTACGTCGTTTCAATGGCTTTGCAAGACCTGAATTATAAGTCTTAGTATTCTTACATGCGTATATAATGTATACCACATTTTCGGGCTGTGGCTTAAGACAAATTGCATGTCAATTTTAAAAGATTGTAAATGTTCATTTGACAAGGTCGACGCGGGTATTACATATTGTGGAGTCGAGCACGTGATCAGCATCCTTTAAACGTTGGTATTTTCATCATCAATTAGTCCTTTTTACCTTAAAGAACGAAATGTCTATTGAAAAAAAAACTTTACTGCAATAAGTAACAGAATGAATACAAACGTATTTGTTTAAGAAAACTTTTACCGCGGAGGAGACATTTGTCGCAATTATTGAATGAAGAGAGGCACAGCTACAGCATTTCAGATTTCACGCTGCCCTTCATTTTCTGTGGGCAAAAATAAGGGGATCTGGATGCAGTGAAAAACAGGCAACACGAACTTGGCGTGGGTTTCGGGCCCGATGAAGGACCCGAAAAAATTGTATATTAGAGGGCGATCGGTGCCTTTTGGTGCGGTTTAAAACTATGATTCATCCAGTCAAAATTGTAATATCAAGAGGGAACTAGTAATCGAAGGGGGGTCGCCCCCCCCCCCCCCCCCCCCTCTAAATCCGCCAGTGTGTCCTATTACCCATTTCAACATTGCCTCAGGAATTGTCCCTGGCATATTTTTTGAAAACAACTGTCAGCCTGAATACAGTCTGATTCGCGAAGGTCTACGTGTACAAAGAGAGCCTCTGGATTTTTTTAAAACGTGTCATATAAATATGTCCGGTTTTTTAGCGGTATGCTTTAAATAACCGAGGTTTCTTATACTAATTATTCTCATACTTAATCTGTCATATATTGAGTGACTTATCGGTAATTGGCTGCTCATAAGTGATTTTACACACAAGTGATGATTATTTCTATAGAGGCAGATCAGAGCAAAATCGAAACGACCAACTTTAAATCTGAAAGATGTGATCAAAATTGGCCCCGCCTTTCGTGCTTGAAGCAATTGTCTGTGCTTTAGAAACTGCTCGATTTTCTGCTCTTACATTAGATAGTCATCTCGTATGTAGCACGTAATTATAGTAGTTACCGAAGACATAAGACGAAATACTTCGCCTTGACCGTCATAAAACAAAGGATGGCTATTTCATTTCGTATCGCAACGTCCAAGAAAAATAGTTCGATTCTTAAACGGCATCGCCTACTCGATGATGGACGTGTGTCGCCCAGCGTCCTCAAGTACCCTGGGCATTGTCAGTCTTTTAGAAATTTTATGATTTTACCAAATACATACGAAGATTCAATTTAAATGCAATTCTTGAAAATTTCTTTTAAAATGTATTTTAGAAACTGTTTTATGTTTTATTTGTTTTCCTTAGAATTACCATTTTAGTGAGATTTAGTGTGTCATCAAACTGGAAGTTGTAAAATATTATTATTATTATTATTATTATTATTATTATTATTATTATTTTTACCAGCGGGGTGATGGTACTAGTGTTTGGAAACAGTTCTATCGACGATTAAAGAAAATTACAGACAGTTTCAGTTAATGTTTCGGCCTATCTATCAGTGGTTATTTTGTAACTTCAAAATATTTATAAAGAATGCGTTGTACGCCAAAGAGTTCTTTAAAATAAAAACTACACAACTTTAAAAACTGATTTCGTTTTTAATGTTCTCTGGCGAATGTATTTATATTCAAGGTAAAACAGAAATTGATGAACACACTGAAAAGACGTTTAAGTTAAGACGACTAGTCGCTCTAATTGAAATTATTTATTCATAACGGATTGCACCAAACATCATGCGTTGCTTCTTTTACAGGTAATACAACGAGAAATCACCCAGAAGACCGAAAGAGTTGGCTGCCTTTCCATAGCCAGGTTTTAGTTTAGACCCCTCCTTCGTGTCCTCGTCACCCGAACCCTCAGCATCGTCACCAGGTGTCAGTAATTCCGCCACTTTACTGGGTGTGTCGTCTAGAACGGCCACTGCCACCAGAGTGCCATTGTCGCCTCCAGATGGCGCCACTGCGGCTGGTGCCTTGACTTTCGGCGCCGTCGTTGGTTTACCACAAGAAGCAGGGCATCCACACTGTTCTGTCTCCTTGGCCGTGCACGTGCGTGCTTCCACAGCCGCACCTGTACACTCAGGAGAGTTCACTGGGACTGGTTCCGTGCACGAGCGGTGACGCACGACGCGACCACCACAGCACGCGGAGACGACGGACCACTGTGTCCATCCTCCCTGGACTGCAAGGGAATAAAACGGAATGAATTTCAGAAAATAACCTTTTTATATATATAGACACTGTATATATGTGTGTCTGTATATTTCCAAGCTTTTCTGTATCACAATTATCTCCAGCTGCTGCTTTGGAATTAAAACCTGTTGGTTTAAAAGTGTTTTGGTTTTTATCTGGAAGTATAATTGGGGTACATGTAATATCGACGTCTATTGCTAGTTATTTAAGAAATAGAGGCTATTGCGTGATAGACGATTAACAGCAATCTGAAGAAAACTGAAGTTATGAGTTATCCTAAAAATATGTTCCTAACCCTGCTCTTATAAAGGAACGGAGGGTTATCTACATAACCATATATATTTTCACATGGCTAAACAGCCATTATGCGTAAAGGAACGAGTATGTTCTATCTTTACTGAATGATAAATTACCACAACCATGCTGGGGAATTATGTTTTGATCGATGGTAAAAATGTTGGACACTTTTCTCTAGGTGAAGGAAAGTGTATTTTTTCGCCAAAATGGCGACAAATGGAAGTTAAAAGCAAAAGATGAAAAAGTAAAAAAAAAAAAAACGCAGAACCACCCCCCCCCCCCAAAAAAAAAAAAAAAAAAAAACAAACTTACCCACACATGCAGCAGTGTTACAGAGACGGATATCGACGTCACTTCCGGTACACGTCTGCACAACTCCTGCAAAGTTCAGCAATGGATTCCTATTGGTCCCTTGCACCAGCAGACATTCCCTCCTCGCCAACTGGATCCCTCCGCCGCAGGAAGCCGTGCAGATTGAGTACTCACTCCACTTGGACCACACCGCGATTGTCGTTACGCCTCCCTTTGGTGACCACGCTTTAAAATTAAATTTGATTGGATTGAATTATATTTACAAAAAATGTTCTGACAGTTTCCCATGCTGTTTTTTTTTTAACAGCATTTGTTTATTTTGGAACAAACGTCATAAGTCCGCGCTGTTAATTGTGTTTGACACATCGTTGCCTTTCATAGCGTATCCGATACTGGCAAATGTAAATATGGAGACAGAACAAAATATTAAATTAATGAACAGAAATTATATGTTATTTTTCATTTGTCTTAAAATCACCAGTTTGATTAATTTGTTGATCTTAGATAAAAAAAAACCCTGGATATATGAATATATAACCTAATGTTTGTAAAAGTCAGTGTAAGAAAAATCGCCTTATCACCCAGAGTTAGAAATTTCAATTTTATGGTGAAAAGGGGAAACTTCTGAGTCGAGATTAAAAAAAAGATATCAAGACAGAATTTATAACAAGCACGATTAATTACATGAAAAGTCAGTCAGGTGAAAAGCACGATTAATTATATGAAAAATCAGCCAGTTGGACTGAAGAACATTTGAAAACAACAAAAATAGCCCTCTCCACGGGAACGCATGTAATCGCTTTTTCTGAACTAATAAGTTAACATTGATGCCTCTTACCTTCAACACAAACGCCAAAAACGACCAGGAGAAACACTGTTGAAAACATGGTGTTGTAGACGCGCCACCGACTGAAGCGACTGCTCCTTTGGACCACAAACAGTGAATGGATTATGTTGCCTTTGTCTGGCGAAATGGACAAAAAGTTAATCAGATAAACCTGGCGGTGTCAAGCCCCTAGGTGCAAACTATTTGGTTTGATTTCGCGTGACATTTGGAGAAAGGGGAAGTTTTTGTGAATTAGATTAACGTAGATAAAAATAATAATAATAATAATAATAATAAAAACGAAAGTGCACGAAATGCTCCAAAGATCATGTATTCACTGCCACCTTTGAGTCAATAAGTGTCAGGTACTGGTAATGTGCAATGATAATTTGGAAATTTAAACGCATAACATTTCTGTTTTATGATCCATTTATTGCCTTTAAGCATTGAAAAATTAAAAGGGCGTATTTTCTCATACGTTTCAGTGGTTTGGGCTGGTCCAGTTTGGACGTCAACAGCGGTATTTTACCAGTTTTGCACAATAAAGTCTAAAAAAAGATCTTTATACACATATAGCTTATATACACACATATAATATATGTGTTTATATACATGAAACGTGAACATGTAAATTTGCAGAAGTGCCCGTAAAACAAACTTCTTGTTTCGTTAATTATTAGCTGATCTTGATACGTTTTGTATCGGGCCAAAGGTCAATCAAAAGGTATACATTATGTGTGGTGTAATTCATGTTGGTATCATACAATTTGTTCGGCATGTATAAAAACTAAAACCGATGTTTATGCGGGAGGTCAGTCGGTTTCGATTCTATCATTATTGAAAGAGCTCTTTTGTTTAGCCTTAGTCCTTCACGCTAATGACATCTGCACTTGGGGTTGACTTCGACCACATATCTTTAAGGTGACTCCGTACGTCGCCCTGTGATTCATGGCGCTGTTGATGACTGTAATCTTCCCCATTTCTGTTACATACTGGTTTTATACGTCAATCTCGGGTGGTTTCATTGAGTGATCCTTTCTCTCCCTCTGTTTGAGAGTAATTCTCTCTCTGTGTGTGTTTGCGTGTGTGCACGGGTGTGTGTGTATGTGTGTGTGGACGCCGATACTTAGCTCTCGTGTGATGCCTGCCACGGACAGTCTAACAAGTTGCTTTATCCAAGTGTCAATTCAGAAACAAAATCCCCTTAATTTGTGTCAAAATAAAAACGTTCATAATGCATAAACATTACTTTATGTATATGGTGTATATGGCTTTATATGTCTTAAATATATACATATGGGGCTATATCTGGGTTAGATAGTATGTATGACTTAAATATGCCGTGGTGTTAAATATCATTTTGACCAGGGAAAATACAACTGTCGTTTCTTTGGGAGGCACGATGCCTTTGAGAAATAAGTGTTTGCTATCTTAAAAGAGCAAACAGAAAAAAATTGACAAGAAGAACCAAAAATGGCCCATTGTACTAAATACTATCAGTCACCATCAACAGGATACTCGTGAGCGTGAGGCAGTTTCAGTTCTGTGCCTCTCCTAGAAACCAAACGAACGTGTGTTACTCGTGTGTCAACCAGCACCAGCGAGACCACCAGAAGTCAACTACGACACACAGAGGCGGACGCTTTTTTATTTCTATGTTTTTAATTTTTTTTCACGAAATTAAAAGTTAGGTCTTAAACCACGCTCGGACAGAAGTAAAAGTATATATTACGTAACACAAAGATCTTGCCTGTTTCCCGCCATTAAAACCCACCACTATCTCACCTCTGGGCATTAAAGATGCTAATGCTGTCTTAAGGACCTAACGCACGCAACTCTCTTCCACGTGCATTATCCTTGTTCTGATAAAATAATAAATGAAAAAAGGGATTCAAAATTCGATTTCCGGAAACACTTACGCTGGTGCAGACAATTTTCAACACAAGTGATAAATCTACTTTTATATCAACGCTGGGTGACAAAATTGTCACCCTGTCGTCACGAAACATTGAGCCATTGACCCCTTAATCGACGAGAACAGATTCCTCCTTGTACGTCGTCTGACTTGACCCCATTTTATCCATTACCCTGTCTTAATAAAATTCCTTCATTCTCCTTTTGTCCTCAACACTCTCTACTAATTTTTGACCATGAATTTTTGTTTTGCTTGCCCATGTCGTTCTAGTGGTTTCAACAATTTAAATTACACGACAAGCGAAGTTGGGGTGTATGAGAACCACTTACTTTGAAAATAAACACAGATTCATCCCTTTAACCTTCATGTGAGTGCGAATGTACATGTAGATACCGCCCAATTGTTGCCGAGGTCGAGGCAACAAATAAATATACACACTTTATACCAATCGTTAATACGCGAAATACCGATTAATCACTTTTTTATGCCCGACAAGAAGTCAGCATTCCGATTAAACATTTCATCTGAGTCATTTGCATAATCACTGGCACTTTTAAGTCTTTTCAACATTCACTCTGCCATCAAGAGGAGTGTATTAAGGCACGGACGTGCGCCAATCATTTCATCTTGTCATTGCTGAGCGCGGTCACGGGGTCACAACGCATGCTAATAGTGGAGAACCTTTTGATGTCGCATAATTCAAAACTATGGACAGATTGCGACGTGCATTCCGCGGTGCTTATGTTTGACACATTTCTTGTCAGGTCAGTATGCTTTTTATGGATGTTATTTAAATTAACGTGAAAATGCTCTGTATATAAGAGCGTAAGTGTTTCTTAAGACTTCGCATTTTCGGTCTGGGCTTTCACAGAAACATGTTGCTGCCAGTGTTCATCGTACTAGTTGGTGTTGTCGACGCTAAGGGTGAGTTTATTTTGCTTGCTTTTTTCTTCAATATTACCCGAAATTGAATGAAGAAAGTAACATCATACGGTTATTTTTTCTCAATATGCTTCTGGTTTTCTCAGGATACACACTAAAGCTAACTATATGCATGTGTGATGTGGTAAACAAACAAAAAAAAAAAAAAAAAAAAAAAAAA